ACGACCAATCTCTGCGTCGGCCTGCTCGGCGGTGACCCGATTCGGGCCCAGGCAATCAAAGGGAAGGTTCGCCCACGTAGCTATGCTGCGACGGAAGAGTGAGGAAGACTTGGTCGAGGTACTCGATCAGCTCCTGCACGTCGGGATAGCGGCGGACGAGCGGAAGGGAAGCATCGCCGTGGGCCACTGCACGGGAACGAGAGTCGAAGAGCATTCGCTGCGGGGAGGACGGCTTAGAGGGGGATCAGGAATCAGGATGAAGGGGAAGACGCACGATTAACCACCGAGCTCCGTGGGCCCAGGCAAGCCACTCGTGGTCGCTATCGGGGTTCAGACGAGGCTCGACTACACGTTCGTCACGGAGAAGATCGATGAGGCGGTAGAACCGGGTGGTGAAGACGATGGTGGACGGGTTCGGGGGAGCATCGGCGGGCATTGCAGACGGTGGGAAACACTGAGAGCCAGGGGGAGGGAGCGGAAGGAGCTGGAGAAAGGTATGGCGAGGCGTCGGAAGGAGGCGGAGGGACCGGAAGGAGCTGGAGAAGGGCACGGCGAGGGGTCGGAAGGAGACGCGGCGGGTGCGGAAGGAACGGGAGAGGAGAGGAACGGGTGCCAGCGAGGGTAGGACGTGGGAAAACGGCGGCGGGAGGAGACTTAGGAGGGGAGAGGGAGGGAGGAGTTAGTTACCTACCACTACCTCTCAGGACTCCGTATCTAGGTTGCGACGGGCAATCTCAGGCTTCAGGTCTCGTATTAGGAGGAACTTCAGGCTAAGGAAGCTCGTCAAGGTTAGGCTCAGGCTTAGGAGGAAGGACGCGACAGGTTTAGGATCGTCGGAAGGAAAATCGTCGAGCGCAGCAGGCTTAGGAAGGCCGATATACGCCCACGGACAGGGCAGGGGAGGTGTTTATCGTATCATCTCGACCTCCCTCTCCTCCGCGAGGTACCAGAGACCTCGCTCCCTCCTTCCGCAGCCGTCAACTCGCACCAACGACCCCCGCCCATCGTTTTCACCGATACCTAGAATTCCCTTCCGCGTCGTCTACGCATCGGGGACTCGCAATCACCACACCGCGTGCGGGCTAGATCCCTCGAAGCATTGTTTCCAGGGATCTCGACGAAAGCAAGCTCGACCAATTCCTCGAATCTGTGCACGACAGACATGGGCCTTCCTCCGATGGGCCGAGTGCCTGAAACCCCTTCACGCACGCAGAGAGCTGCACGTTTCTTGAATCGTAGGCATACGACCTCCCCTGAGCACGGTCGACGCCACAGCAGTCGCTCCCCGTCCCCGAATGGGTCCCGAACTCGCTCAAGTCATCCTATATCAAGGCACCGCAGTCGCGGCCGTACAGAGAGGCCGGGCCTGTCGACTGTCATTGAAGATATGGCCGATGCATCAGCTGTCGAGTCAATGTCCTTACCAGTCCGAGTCGGCGAGATCGCCCCCCAGTCGTTTGATTCAAGCGAGTCTGCGTCGGCTAGCCATACGGCCTTATCGTCTTTTCAGGCGCCAGACACGCCCGTGCATTGTGTACTGGAGTCGGGAACGAGCAGCGAGGGTCGTGCCGAAGTGATCATCGAGCCGCGGGGACAGGGCACCGCGGTCAGCAATTCGATTCAAGGAAGCGTATCCGATGGACGTACCTTGCAACCACAGCCGCCTAACACCCCCACCACTTGTACTGGCCCCAGCACTGCACGCGAGGGGTACAATGCGCCACAGCTTCACCAGCGCGTGTCGATGAACGACGGGCTTCAACATGGTGGGCCAGTCCCCTTGCGAGCTGATGCTCGTCTGCTGCAGCCCTCACCCAGCGCTCCGCATGATAACGGAGCTGATAATCGAGCTACTGTGGGCGAAGGGCGAGCGGTTCGAGTCGCTCGGAGTGACCTCCCAGAACTTGTATCTGGTTCATCTGTTACGTGCCCTACCGGTCGTGTCAACACCGACGAAGAGATCGTATATCCCACCGGTGATCACCATATGTATGCCCAATCGACCAGCACCTCAACCATCGGAGATGTAAGCGCTGGAGTCAGTTGCGAAGGAAACGAGGAGAGCATCCCGGATGAGCCACTTGAAGCATCGAATCGTGACTCTAGTAATGCTCCTCCTGACGCTCGCAGCGAGGTACGTGTGACTTACCTTGACTTGAGAGGCATTCATATTGACTCGAAACTTCAGCAGCCTCGCGCCGATGATGACGTAATTCTGTTGGGAGAGCGGCACGAACCGCCCTTGTTGGATGCTCAAATCTTTACGGTGCAGGTCGCTCACGTCGATGAGACTATACTCGGTCCCAATGAGGAGGAGTGCGCTGCGGCCGACGGCCAGTCGCCAACTAGCTCATCCGTCCAGGAATCGAACTCGATGCCTAGCAGCTCTGTTCCCACCTCTCCCCGATTAGTTGCGCTCAGCGTGGGCGAAGGCACATTGTCATCATTGACCCAGCTACCGGCGCTGGCTGAAGCGGGCGCTGGTATGGACTCGCACGCCACACAGCGCATCCACCAGCCGGCGACACCTGAAGGTCCTTCCCTTAACACTCCGCTCGAATCCTCTCGGGAATCAGGCCACGTCCGCCACCAGATGTCCGCAGGAGGTCCTATCTCACCGGAGAGGCAGAGCCTCGATCGCCGGAACCGAGCTGTCTCGTTGTTGGATGAGATTACCTCGTCGATCAGCTGCGTATCGGAGTCGTCTCCTTCAGCCCCAGGCTCCGGGACAATACCCGGGACGACAAATTTCGGCTCGTCTTCCATGAATTCGGCTCGCCAGACACAGCACGCACCAGGGTCCGATGCCGATGTGTCTCTTTCCCTCCCCGCACAGGACGGCGATGCGCCGCTGCTCCCACCGAAGTCTGCATTCAGCAGCACACATTCTGACAGCTTCCTCGAACCGACCACCCCTAAACCGGATTACGCATTGATTGGGCCTCCAGGTCAAGCAGTAACCACGGGTGCTGGTGACCTGCTATCGGAACGGAACGCATCACGCGACAATGATCGAATCCTTGCGAGACAGCAGCACCCGGCTTTAGCCAGGGATCACTTGAAGCAGACGAAGGGGCTTGCCAGTGCGCCAGGCTCAACCACCACTGCGCGGATCAACTGGACCCAGGATTCCAGCATGCTGTCCTCAGGCTACGCGGCGCGGCGTGAACAGGGGGGAATACGCTACCCCAAAATGCACTCACTGGTTGGGCGCATACATCACCCGCCGGATACAATCCGTTGTCGCAATTTCCCGTGGCGGCGGCATCATCCAGAGGCGAGGACGTTTTACGAGCCACGATCCCACCTCGTGGCCAATTCATCTTAGATCGAGCCCCTCCGGTTCATCCGCGCCAAGGCAGGCTATACCGGCATATTCATGTATAGAATACCTGTAGTTAGCGCAAAAGGGTGTATACATGAAATGCCTGTACTTACCGAGGACTGCTCGCTCATGTATGAGCGAGGCGCCGTCATGTATGAACGAGGCGCCGTCGGTCGCTACCCGATATAGCAGCGGCGCCGGGGTAGCCCGGTCCCTTCGCCCGCGGCGGGGCAGCACCACTGGCGCGCGATGCGAGCTGCCCGATATGGATGAACATCAGGGTCAGTGGCATCTGAGATCAGGTACATACGATCCCGCCCTGCCTGCTACGTGGCGTCAGTTTCGGCCATGCCCGGGAGCCCGCAACGAGCCGAGCGAGCGGTGAGCGCTTCCGCTTGCCGTTTGCGACCTCCACCAGCCTCCACTACACCGTCCCGCGTCGGTCACCGACGTTGTTAGAGAACAGCGCGCATGGCAACAGCGAGCATGCAGAGATTGGCCCTGCATGCAGATATAGCCAGCGCTAGCAACGAGGTGAGTGCAGACACACAGGAGCGAGCGAGCTGACCTTGTTTACAGGGCGGCGACGTGGAGTACAACACACGTGTCGACCGCGAGGGCGTAGGGCTTATGCCTCGCATGCAAAAGCAGCCCACGGACGGATCACATGGACGCGAGGGCAGGCGAGCGAGCAGGCTGAGGGGCGGGTAGGCCGACTGGCGGGCAGGCCGACGGGCATGCAGGCCGACGGGCGGGCCGGCAGACGGACAAGCGAGCGGACGGGTGGGCAAGCGGATGGATAGGAGAGCGAGCAGACGGGAAAGTGAGTAGGCGACAGCACACGCCCACCGCGAGCGTGCTAGGCGAATGCCCAGCACGCAGACACGGCCGACGGATGCACACGCAGGCGGGAAAACGGGTTCATGGGCAGGCGAGCGGGCGGACGAGCGGGAGGGGCAGGCGGACGAGCGGGAGGGTGGACGGGCGGGAGAGCGAACGGGCGGGAGAGCGAACGGGCGGGAGAGCGAACGGGCGGACGGGCGGACAAGTGGGCGAGCTGCGAGCAGGCAAGGAGATGAGCAAACAAGGAGACGAGTGGGTGGGCGAGTAGAAGAGAAGGTGAGCGGGAAAGTGGGTGGGTGGGCGAGTGAGAGGGCAGGCGGGCCAGAGGGAAAGCGAGCGAGAGGGAAAGCGAGTGAGAGGGAAAGCGAGCGAGAGGGAAAGCAGCGGGCGGGCCGCGGGTACAGAGTGCGGATGAGCATTACACGCACGGCGACCGCGAGCGTGCAGGGCGAATGCCCAGCACGCAAGCACGGCCGACGAACAGAAGGCGGGCGCGTGAGTGAACAGCAAGTGAGCGCGACGGTGGGCAGGGCGCGCAACACACGCCAACCGTGAGTGCGCCAGGCGACTGCCCTACCGCCCCTGCACGTAGACACGGCCAAGATGTTAGTAAATAGAGACATTGTAATGGTAGTAATAACATGTTCTATGCATATACAGCAGCCATCGCGGCCAATCCACCCGAAGTAGACGATTCATGGCTCGCAACTCAGAGAACCACTACACTAGTGTAGATAGACATCCCTACCGAATACAAGAACAGCTTTTGTGTTGTACTGCACCTCCATATTTGTATTCCTCCGGTATATGTAACTAGGCATGTATCTAGTCCCTATTGTAGCATAAAAGACATGCATACATAGTGCAAAAACGACCCGAACACGAGTCGGCGATATGTTGCAGCTCTCAGTGGGACCTTTAAACGTGTTCTGATTGGCCAGGAACAGCCCGACGACATCGGGGTTGCCCAATCTGGTGAGGCAACAAATAGACGCAAACGTTGGTTTTACGGGGGCGCCCACGAAGCTCACTCACTTGCCTGCTGCGTCCACAGCTCTACCCCTACCCACTCCAGACCAGCCCTCGGACTAGCAAAAACAGCAGCACATTGACCAGCACGAAGGCGCGTCCGCAGGTACAAATGGGCCATGTCAGCAGGTATGAATAGGGCCGTGTCAGTGGGTACGCCAGTGGGTACGAATGGCGGCAGGTCAACAAACACGAATGGTGCGTCGGTGGGTACGAATGGCAGCACGTCGATCAGTAGAGTCGCCGCGGGCTACACGGGCGGTGCCATGCGTGCCGCGATCATCGACGGCGTCGACTGCAGCTCGTACGTCCTTTCCTCCTCTTCCCAAACATCGCCGCTAACATGTCAATTTGTCGCAAGGATGACCATCTCAACCTCCATGGGAGGCTGCGTGCGTATTGCAGCTGGTTCCTCCAGAGCCTGCAAGCCATTGTACATGTCCGTGAGTCCGAGGTCGGCGGGCGCAGCGCGGATTCTGTTGAACATGACCTGCGTCGGCGCGGGCTCGGTGGAGGTGAATGAGGCTTACCCGCCGCAGATTCTTGAGAGTGTCGTGGATGTCGTGGAGGAGCGCAAGCGCAGGACGGAGCATATGGAGGATGTCGAGCTTGCGGGGATGCTCGCGAGGGATTTTTTTGGTGCCCATCCTGGAGCACAGCACACTGTACATCATTGCTACTTATACTAATATATATTGTTTCTACCATTGCGCTGTTTGTTAGGGTGTGACGAATTGTCAGGGCCTGAAACATACCAAACTGTAATCGGGAGGGCTGCCGCTTTATGACTCGCCTTCGCACAACACTGGAATTAGTAAATAGCATTGCAAAGAACAAAAGTTAATTTAGTGTTTGTCACAGAGCGCAACATACAGCGTGTATGTCATGGAGCACGACATACACACTATATACGGCACCATGCCTAGCCCTAGAACATGTCAGATCTCACTGATCGTACATCACGATCATTTTCGCCCGATGGCGCGAAGAGCACGCGACAGCACCTATTTTGGGTAGGCGGCGGCGGCGCCGCGAGCTGTCCCCGGCACTGGGTGACCTAAGCTGTCCCCAAAGGGCAGCTGCCTCTTTGGGTAGTGAGCACGGCGCCTCGCTTATACATGAGCGAGTGGCGGCTCATGTATGAGGAGCAGCCCGCGGTAAGTACAGGCCTTTCATGTATACACCCTTTTGCGCTAACTACAGGTACTCTATACATAGGCCTGCCAGCACCTGGTGGCCAAGGGTCGGCATCCTCTACACGAATGAGGTTGAACGTTCAGTCGCCTTCCCCACAGGTCCGAGCAACGGACGTCACACCGACTGCACCGTCGGATGCTTCCAGCAGTCGCTATCCCGCCCAGGTTACTGCACGCCGTGTAGCTTTCCAGAGCCATGTACCTTTTGTTCCAGCTCTTGAATCATCTGGACCCTCGGCAGGTGGTGGTATAGAGCGGCCGATGGTCCCGCAGACCCAACGATTCGACTCCATCGCTCCCACTCCTGCCGTTGGGTTCAGGGCTTCTGGCCACTGGCATCCTTCAACTTCGGACGGCGCTCCCACTACTGGGCAAGCAGACATTGTCTCACCACGGGTAGAAGCGCCAACGAACAGTTCGACAATTGGTGGTCCTCCAGTGACTGTCGAAGATGTGGATATGGGATTGGATCGCCAGATGCCCATAAACCGCGACGTCACGGAAAACGAGATCATCCCCGACATTGCGGAAGACGTCCCAGACGGCCATGCCGCTGCATCCACGCAAGACGTTGACGCGACCGAAAAGAACACAAAAGCCACACAAAAACCCAACCGTGAGGTCGAGCAGTGGTATGCGAGGCCTCTGCGTCTATGAGATGTACGGGGGACTGTACAGTGGTCTAGGTAAGAAGGAGGAGGACGGACAAGACTCCGAACGACGTGGGAGAGCTTCGAAGATGTCGAAGACTGTTCGAAGGCGAGGGCTAAGCCTCGAAGGTAGGAGGGAGGGTTTCGACAGACGGGTCGAACGAACGGTGACAAGGAAGGCGAGCGACGGCAGGAGAAGAAGTGTAGAGCCTCTCGGGGCAACTACGAGCTGGCGAACGTACTGGCGAACTGACTGACTGGCTTCGAACGTACTGACTGACTGGCGAACTTGCTGACTTCGAACGTACTGGCTGACTGACGAACCTCGCCGGTGCGAGGTGAGATTGAGAGGGTAAGGGGGTCTCTGAGATTCGAAGGGAACCAGTCCCAGAGTATATACAGGGAAACACGGCTATTACCACTACGGAGCTCCGACGGCCCCAAACATCCGGCTATGGCTTCTAACACGTGACAACTGCTCTCGGGCTCGCTAACCAGTGGTCCGAAGGCCGACCGGCTATCACATGACGCCGGAAACCGAGACCACTCGTCAAGGATGTGAGACGACCTGCAAGGACTCACTGGACATCCTGTAGCATCCTATGGTCTCGCAGGAGATCTTCTAACACCGTAGCACGTCTTCTAACATGTTCGAGTGTCTTTTAACACATAGTGTATCTTCGAGTGACCTGCGTGTTCTGGGGTCATCTAGATAGGTGGGTAGGTGCTCCTATAGCGTCACTGAGGTGCCGGAAGGTCGCGGATAGTCTTCTAAGGTGAGCCAGGGTTGGCTACGAACTTCGAAATCTTCGAACAGTTGTAGTGGATCTTCTAAGAGCTTCGGAGCATCGTAGAGGCCTAGATTGCGTTTTCGGGGCTTAGATAGCCTAGAGGCGTATCATCTCCCCCTTACTGAAATCCTGACCGTCCTCGGTCAGCGGGTATAGCAGATGAAGGGTGCTTGTTTCGTAGAGGACCACCGGGGTCGGTAGAAGGTGAAGGATGGTTGAAATTGGAGGTAGGACGTGAACTAAGGATTGCTTGGGTGGTATCATTGCCCCCTACGGCGGGAACAGCTCGTCTAGCACCGTAGAAGACCCTAGCTGTCTTCGTACAAAACACTGTCTGCATCCAGCTTGTCGAATGCATCTTTGAAGCGTTCGGAGGCTCCTAGGGACATCGTAGACTCCTTCTCCTTCTCTCTAGCCAGCGGTACACTGTGACGGGCGTGGCTGCGTGATTGAACGACCAATGGGCCGTGATACCGAGGTCTCGTCTTTGCATTGGGTGACTGCCTGACTGACATGTTTGGAGCTTGCTCTAGGTCGTCTCGAAGGAAGTCAAGGTCCCTGACTGTCTCGTAACGCTCAGGCTCGACCCCGAGGTGCAGCGGGCATCTTTGCAAGGTATTCACTCTACGAACGATTAGGTTTGTTGGGTCTGGGGCCATGTCGGGTGGTAGGACTAGGTACGTGTCTTCGAACGTTCGGAGTTGTTGTTCATGCACTCCACGTCGATCCCATGGCCATAGATTGTCTCCAAAAGCGAAAAACAGTGCGGCAGTGACGAACAGCACCACACACATGTAGAAGACTCTCGACACGTGTTTGGGTGGACCTGCTGGTTGCGAGAGCAATAGGGTATGTTCAACGTCTTCGAGGTGTGGGTCTAGCTTTCGAGGCGTGTCTGGTGATGGTACTACCAAGTGGTCGTGGTGATCCTCCCCCTTACTGAAATTGTGACCGTCCTCGGTCAGCGCAGAGATAGATACAAGAGACGGGCGGGGCGGGGAGGGAAGCATGGGCTGCTCATCATGCTCGGGCAACATAGTAGCCAGTGGAGGTGACAGGCCATCCATCGTAGGAGTGTTCGAAGATTTTGGCGGTAGCACAGCGCACGGTAACTTCGAAGACGTAGGAGCAGAGTCTGGCAACATCGAAGGAGTGGGGGTAGACATCATAGGAGGATCCAAAGGCGTCGTAGTTGCAGAAAGATAGTCCGAACTTTTCGGAGCGTAAGCATAAGCATCCAATGATTTCGGAAGCATAGCAGGAAGGTCGGAAGGTTCCGGAGATGGGAGGGGACAGTTCGACGATTCTAGAAATGGCATAAGAGGCTTCGAAGATTTCGTAGACCTGGGATGGTGGTCTGACAATCTCAGAGATGTAGCTCGAAAGTTCGAAGATTCTTGAGACGTAGGAGCGTGGTGTTGCAATTCTGAAGGGATCGAAGGGGTGTCAAACGTCGTAGGAGTGTTCAAGGATTCCATCAGCATAGAGAGATTGTTCGAAGACATCTGTTGATAGTCCAAAAATCTCGGAGACATGGCTTGACCGTTCGAAGGTTTCGGAGACGTAGGGGCATGATCTGGCCATTTCGGAGAGATAGGAGGAGTGTCCAATGTCGTAGGAGCACTCAAAGATTCCGTTGACGTGGGGAGATCACCGTTCAAAGGCTTCAAAGACATAGGTCGATAGTCCGAACATTTCGGAGGTGCAGGTTGGTCATCTGACAATCTTGGAGACGTAGGTCGACTGTCCGAAGATTTCGAAGATGTAGGTCGTATGTCTGAAGACTTCGAAGACGTAGGAGTCTCTTCTAACGTAAGGCTGCCCTCCAGAAGGTCCCCTAACACGGTGACAGCTGGGGAAGTGTCTTCGATCATAAGGCTGTAGTTCGAAAGTGGTTCCATAGCTGCAGTGTTTGTAGACACCTGGTTTGTCTTGCGCTCCGCCGTCTGAGGCGTCAGTGCTGCCCAGTATCGGTCGCGAAGGTACGAAGGCAATTTTCGAAGCTCCTCAGATGTCAATGGTACACACGGAGTGTTCGATGAGGACTCGACAGCCAGTTCGGCAAGCTGGGGCGGGGGCTGTGCTATAAAGAAGCTGGCTCGGCTCTGTCGCTTCGTGGGAGATGCTTCGAAATTTCGAGGGCTCGCTTCGAACTTTGTAGGGGTCGCTTCGAAACGTTGGGTGGGAGGAGGTGCGTAGGTCATGTCTCGAACATTTGCAGATGGGAAAGCGGGACTCTCGGTGTCGATGGTAGGTCGGACGACTGGCGCAGGCGCTAGGGTACTTGGTCTTGTCTTCGAACATGGCAGGTGGTTTGGGGCTCGCTCCGAAAACTTCGAACACGTCATGGGTAGTAGTGGTTGATCAGCCAGGTGGGTGTTCGAGCGTAGGGGATGCTTCTCGATGACAACTCGGTCGACAACGGTCTGCTTACGCTGTTCCCGAGCATAGATCTCCGTCAACCGTGATAGCTGGGTGTCCATGCAGGCTAGCATCTCTCCAATGTCGAGGGCATGCGTAGGGATAGGCGGACTCTCGACTGCTTCATAGAGCAACTGCGTGGCTGTAGCGCCTTGCATAGCACTGCCTGAACCACTCGAAGATGACGAACTGAGTCCTAACTTGTTCGAACGACGTGCATGTTCGTAGATAGTGTCTCGGAGGGTCTCGCCGTCTTGGCGACTCATGAAGCGGTTGTTGAACGAGACGATCTTGCCATCGGGGTTCCGTCGACACAGGCCCTTCTTCCTGTCTTCTTTGAACATCTCGCAGTCACCGATCCAACATCCCGAACGTCCGCAATAGAAGCACCGAGGGCTGTCACGACTGTTCGAGAATTCGGGTGACCGGCTGTGAGACTGCTGGGCCTCGAGGGTCTTGATCAGCATCTGTAGCAATGGTAGGAGGTCTTCGGACTTCGTGGTCACAGGTGGGGATGGCAGGATAGACACAGCGGGTGTGGTCGTAGGCATAGGGGGACGAGCTTGCCGAAAGGTCGAAGCTGGTGTAGGACCATCTAACACCCACTGTGCTGACTTGTAGATCTCTGCGAACGTCCAGGGCTTCCTTCGAGAGCGGTCAGGGTTCCGCATGAACAGGCGCTGCTCGATGGGACCCCAGAGCGTATTCGGAAAGCCTTGCTGGAACTTCCGATCTTGTTCGAGTGTTGAAAGCGAACCTCGAGCGATCAGGTACTCCGAAATCATGTAGAAGTCGCGGTAGTAGGCAGCGAGGTGGAGGGCATTGGTCATCCCGAGTTCTATGCGATCATGGATGACCGTGTCCAGATCAGCGAGCGAGTACTTGTGCTCGTCATCAGCTCCAGGATAGAGTGCTCGTAGGGCGGTCACGAACTCCTCGTAGGGTTTCGTAGCATCCTTGAATGTTGGCTGCATCATCCATAGGTCGGAGACGCGGATAGGAGGGTAGCGAACTGCCCATGACTTCTTGTCGGAGTCGTCGGTAACTCGGCATCGTGCGAAGTGTGTTTCGAGGTCTTGGAAAAAGCGGTTGAATGAGAAAGGTTCTGACTCGTCGAAGACAGGTGCAGTGGAGTGTCCGCGTGCAGGCATTGAAGCCACCTTCGAGGCTGGTGCTCCTGTGTCGGCCATATTTGGACTCAGCTTCGAAGTGTTAGAAGGAGTTGGCGAAGCGATAGAAGGGATTGTTGAAATGTTCGAAGGTATTGTCGAAGTGTTTGAAGGGTTAGGGGTGTCGACGGTCGAAGTCCGTCGCGGCGCGGACTGCTCTGGTCCTGGAGGGACTGACGACACTCTACGACTGGTGGGTATGGGTAGACGTGAGGTGGAAGATCCTCTACGCGTGGTGACTGTGGCTGAGGTGGGTTCCTCTCCTTCGAGAGGTGGTGATGGTGTTAGAAGCGGTAGAGGGGATCCGAAGACTAGTGACTCTAAGTCGTCTGCAAGCAAGAGTCTTCGAGCACGTCTGGAATGGGATGGGGTAGTAGGCACTTGGTCTCGAACGGAGCGTTCCGGATCGTCGTGATCGGGGACAAGCTCGACGTTTTCGGACGAAGAGGGGATAGTCGAAGGTCCTGGGAGAGGGTTGCTATGCCTGCGAAAGGCGGCGGCTGATCCGGGACCTAGACGACTGTCGATAGCGAGTGCGAGAAGAGGACTTTCGTAGTCTCGGTAGTCTTCAGGGTTGACGTCGAAGTTCCGACGCGGCGGAATCTTGCTCTATATCCCCCTCGCGGTGGGCTCCAAGATGACGCGACCGAAAAGAACACAAAAGCCACACAAAAACCCAACCGTGAGGTCGAGCAGTGGTATGCGAGGCCTCTGCGTCTATGAGATGTACGGGGGACTGTACAGTGGTCTAGGTAAGAAGGAGGAGGACGGACAAGACTCCGAACGACGTGGGAGAGCTTCGAAGATGTCGAAGACTGTTCGAAGGCGAGGGCTAAGCCTCGAAGGTAGGAGGGAGGGTTTCGACAGACGGGTCGAACGAACGGTGACAAGGAAGGCGAGCGACGGCAGGAGAAGAAGTGTAGAGCCTCTCGGGGCAACTACGAGCTGGCGAACGTACTGGCGAACTGACTGACTGGCTTCGAACGTACTGACTGACTGGCGAACTTGCTGACTTCGAACGTACTGGCTGACTGACGAACCTCGCCGGTGCGAGGTGAGATTGAGAGGGTAAGGGGGTCTCTGAGATTCGAAGGGAACCAGTCCCAGAGTATATACAGGGAAACACGGCTATTACCACTACGGAGCTCCGACGGCCCCAAACATCCGGCTATGGCTTCTAACACGTGACAACTGCTCTCGGGCTCGCTAACCAGTGGTCCGAAGGCCGACCGGCTATCACATGACGCCGGAAACCGAGACCACTCGTCAAGGATGTGAGACGACCTGCAAGGACTCACTGGACATCCTGTAGCATCCTATGGTCTCGCAGGAGATCTTCTAACACCGTAGCACGTCTTCTAACATGTTCGAGTGTCTTTAACACATAGTGTATCTTCGAGTGACCTGCGTGTTCTGGGGTCATCTAGATAGGTGGGTAGGTGCTCCTATAGCGTCACTGAGGTGCCGGAAGGTCGCGGATAGTCTTCTAAGGTGAGCCAGGGTTGGCTACGAACTTCGAAATCTTCGAACAGTTGTAGTGGATCTTCTAAGAGCTTCGGAGCATCGTAGAGGCCTAGATTGCGTTTTCGGGGCTTAGATAGCCTAGAGGCGTATCAACGTCCAGATGGCCGACGAAGACCTCGGACGCAGCCGAGAAGAACCAGTCAGTGAATCGCCTGGCCCAGAGGCGAGGCGCACACAGAGTCCCTCAGTTGCTCAAGACGCGCCCAACCAACTCGACGCCCGTCCTGCACAGCAGAACGGTGTCGACCCAGATGCTGAAATCCATAGGCCCGAGCCTCCAGGAGGGCACAACTTGGGTGGTCGTACTGTGAGTGTGAACGCGAATCCCGAGCGTCGTTGATTAATGTCCGCGCGTAGGTCATACCTGCGTCTCGAGACGACGTCTACCGGATCGACAAGGAGATGGGCGCCATCCACGGGGAGGTCAAGGCGATAAGAGAAGTACTAACGAGCAAACTTGGAAAAGGAAAAGGAAGGGCGGAGAATGACTCGGATGCTGACGATGAAAGCGACGAATTGGGGCTGCCAGCCAAGCGTCCCAAGAAGTACGGATTTCCTAAGCGCCGTTCTGCGGATGCAACGGGACTCGCGGTGCGATGCTCTATATTTCAATTCCACAGAGTTAGCTTAACTCGTTGTCAGTCTAACGTTCGGAGCCACGCCCGTGTTCTCATGAAGCGCGACACGAGTGACTTCCGTATCCGGCGTCGATCAGTCGCGACACCAGAAGAGCTTGAAGGCTTCCAGGAAGGCCGCTGTTGTACAGCGAAGAAGTTCAAACTGGACTTGAACGGCACGGCGGCCAACAAATGGAACAAGTCCGCAACAGAGGTATTTACTGACAGTTTCCTGGAATGCAAGCAATACCAGTGGAAGCAGAGGTCAAAGATATCGGCGGCGTTTAGGTCCCACTTGCGGGGGCTAATCAAGAAGTACAGGGAGCAACTATCGAGACCGACCCCGGAAGCCATCCTTGCGACGAAACTGCAGCACAGTCGCCAGCAGCGGAAGCAGAACGTAAGTGACTGAGCATCATAGGTTGCATGATACCTAATTCATCAGCATAGAAATTCCAACGGCGACTCGCCTCTTGTCTGGATTACGATCAATTGCGCCCTCATCAACACCTCATCAGAATCCTTGGTCCCAATGGTATGAGCTCGGACGAGCCTGACAGCACTCCAGGACAGTTCCGCGTTCTGCGTAAGCCGTGGAGACAGTCACAACTCACTCGATTCTTGAGCGTCTTTGATGCTGCACACGAGAGGAGTAGGGCTCCGCCAGGCCAGCCGGTGACGCGCGGTGCCTTGCCCGGTCGTCGCGTAGCATCTGACTCAATCGACGGTCAACGACCGGCCGTCAAAAGGCTGCCGATCAATGCTTACGACCCTCATTGGTATGGCCAGCTCTCAAGCATTGAGAAAGAAGAGCTGCGTGTCGACTCTAGGCCGTACAACTTCAGCATCGAGTCCAACTTCTTGCGGTAAGGGTGTATCATCGTTCGCTTGACATACGTAACCACTGCTGACTACGACACGTTAGGGAGATGGGTCTGCAACCGATTTCGATATCAGACGGTACACAAGAGGAGCCTGGCAACGCGGAAGCGGGGCCGAGTAGCTTGCAGTGATGGTATAGGTGCCACTCACGACGATCGGACGATGGCGGGGGCAAGGATTGTAGTACACTGGCAGAGCATATATAGCATAGTATGCGAGGTAAAGACTACTGCATCGATCACGACTGTGTACGCTATGGAGAATCCAATGTCATGGTATGAACCTCGATCCTACTTCTCTAAGCATTCTTCTCCCGCCATCTCCCGTTTCAAATCGCCGCAGCTCACACGTTGGTCAGGGGAATATTAATACTGGTATCGGGTCGTCCGCTGGCAACCCGTAGGCCACTGTGCTTAACGTCAAGCACGCTAATGAGTGGCTCCACGAGTGGCTCAGTATGCAAATCAGGTGGAGTGTGATGCGGCTTTAGCACGCCTCGTGCACGGAACGCACTGGATACGGCAAAGCTGTGTTCAAAGGTCTGTTTTTGTCCTCACTGACAATGCTCGCTTTCCTTTAGTTCAGCGAACGCTAGTACACATGGAGTCCCCTCCTCCTCCTCAACACGAAGTCTCCCGTCGCGATGCATGTGCATAAGCCATGTGGCTAGTGCTTATCACAGGCCGTACTGTTCCCGACTCGTATTAAATAAAGTGTCATGTATCGCGCTCGCACCCTCTATCCCACACAACACATGCAACAGAGGCACTCGCCGGAACAGACTAGGACTGTGGTACCGAACACAATGTGGGCATTTGAACCTACGAGGACGCCACATTCGTCAGTGGAACGGTATTTCCGTTGAATGTCGTGGCTTTATTGACATTACCATATACTACAGGGATCATAATCAACTGAGCAGGAAACGTCACCGCGAGACGGATGATGCGTTTGTCGAAGAGGGCCAATCAGCTCTGCGCCCCGGCTTTCGATGCGGCTATACTCGTAGCCCAACTGGAACGCGCGATCAACCGAAGTCAAAGCGCAAATGCCTGTCTCCCTATTCTGTGCAGGTGAGCGACGACTGCATGTAGGTGTCTCGTCCTGTATCACAAACTTATAAGCTAACAACGGCATTTCTCAGCATGTCCGACCTGAATCAAGAGCCTGACATCGTCGCCACTGGCAGTGCAGACACTGCCAAATTTGCATGCGGAACCGTTGCGATCAGATCAGCGATTCCCGACGCAGCATCGTATGCATCAGGAAAAACCCACTTTCCTTATTTGGACTTCACGCATGTTTAAACTACTTCACGTAACGTCGTCTTACTTCGTAACATCATTAAGTCTTAAATGCATAAATACGTTCCCTGAAGACTGGTGAAGTGCACTTAAATCAAGTATGACATTAATACCTCTGTTTCAAGGCCACTGAAGTGCAAATGAAGACTCATGTTGAAAGCTACAGAGGTGCTTACGTACATGTAACTAGTACTCACACTCCATAGAACTACTCTACTCTGGTACTGCGATGACATGGTTGTTCACTTTTGCTGTGAATGTGAAGCCTTGAGCTTGCGGCGTGCTTCACTGCAGTACGTCGCAAACTCAAGGCTTCGCATTGCTTTGTGAGTTGCGCTTTCGACCGACTGGGAGTCTAATGGGCAAGTACTGGCATGCTGTGGCGACGGGCTGCATGTACCGTGCACGGTCACTGGCACCCGTGACCCGCGTACCCGTACCCATGTACGGTGCTAACCGCACCCGGGTTCACTGCCGGTGTTGGCGGTGGTCCGCGAGTTGACCACCCTCGGTGGTACCTCCGAGTCGGCGGGTGTGCGCTTGCTGCCTGCGCCCGCCGTCTTCGTCTTCCTCCCCGTCCTCCCCACTCGCTCGTGCTCGCGTGTCCCCACTCGTCACGCGCCATCCGTACGCCCTTCCGCGTACCAGCCGCTGTGCCCGTGCCCGCGGTGCGCTCGTCTGCTGCGTTTGCACGCGGGGCACTGGCCCTGGGTGCTCGCGGTTGGCGTGTTGTACACGCCCCAGCCCTGTCCACCGTCAGTTTCCGTCCTTTGCTCACGCCGGCGTGGTCCATTCGCCGGCCATGTTAGCACGCCCGCGGTCGGCGTAGTGCCCTGGCCGCCCGCCTGCCCGCTCGCCAACCGTATCTGTTCGCTGGGCATTCACAGAGCGCACTCGCGGTTGCTGTGCGTGTCGTCGCCCGCTTACCCCGCTTACCCGCCCACTCATCCGCTCGTCTGACCGCTTGCCTGCCCGTCTGTTCGCTCGTCTGCCCGTCCGTCCATCCGCCTGTCCGTCCATCCACCTCTCCGCCCGCCCAATCGGACGCGTGTCCGTCGACCGTGTCTGCGTGCTGGGCATTCGCCCAACACAATCGCGGTCGGTGTGTGTCACCCGCCCGCTGTGTCTGCTTACCCGCCCACTAGTCAACTTGCTCGCCCAGCTGCCCGGCCACTCACCGAGATGTCTGCCCACCGCCCACCCACCCACTGGCCCGCTCGGTTTCTCACCTGTTCGCCCTGCCGCCCGCCCACTTGTGCTTCCTCCTCGTAGTCCCTGGCCATGTCGCCCGTTCGTCGGCCGCGTCTGCGCGCAGGGCATTGGCCCTGCGCGCGCGTGGGTGACGTGCGCGCTGTGCAGCAGACGGACAACTCGCCGGCTTACTCACTCTTCCGCCCGCGTCTGTGTTCGTCAGCGGTGTCTGCCAGCCGCCCCTTGCCAGGTATCCACTCACCTTGCCGATCCTCGCCTGCCCGCCTGCCTACCATTCACCCGTCAACCGTTCATCGGCCATGCCTGCATGCAGGGCATTGGCCTTGCATGCTCGCGGTCGTCGTGCGCGTCGTGCTGCACGTCGCTGCCGCATTCTGTGTCGGCAATCAGTGAGCTCGCTGGCGCTAATAAGCACTCACTGGCCGTCGCCGTCGCCCTCGCCGTCGCCGTCGCCCTCGCCCTCGCCCTCGCCCTCGCCCTCGCCCGTCCCCGCCGCCTGCTCACCCATCCCCCCTGGTCCGCTCCTCGTCTGCGCCTACCGTCCGCTCGTCGCTGTGCCCGCGGCCGCGGTATGTTCGTCGACTGCGCCTCTATGCGGGGCCTTTGCCGTACTTGCTCGGTGTCCGCGTGTGCGCCGTATCCGTGTGTTGTGGCGCTGGATTAGTGGTCCTCACGCCGTGACCGGTGGGTGCTGATGCGCGGATGGAGTGGCAGCAAGGACCAACGGAGAGGGCGAAAGAGCGAGGTGGCAACCTTCAGGAATGTCGCGCACGCCACGTCTGGGCGCTCGGTATTGCCTCTTTCGGCAATACCGTCACGAGTCGGTGACACCGCGCAGTACTACGGTGCAGTAAGTACTAGTCGTGGGTGTACCCGCTACCCGCGTCCAACCTTAGTATTCAGTCGTCGGGGTTGCGTTAAGGGCCAAGGTGCGTAGTAAAGGTGCGTAGACTTGAGGGTCACGCGGTCCTGGGTTCGCTGACGACGGGTGACCTGCTGTAGAGCGTCCGTGCGGGAGCCGTTCACCCGATATGTGCGTCCGGAGTCGCGGCTGACGATGATCGTTGGGAGTGAAAGGGACGGTGGCATCGCACGAGCGATCGACGCACGCGAACTCGTCCGAGTGCTGTAGGTCTTGAGTAGTCAGTACACGTTGCCGTAGTTGGGGGGTAGAGTTGTCAGAGGATCAGCGCACCTGTCATGTCATGACCGTTCATATAAGGGGCCGTCGCACCGTCTTCCAGATGTCAGTTAGCGAGTGCACGCACGGTCCCAGAAGCTGTCGTCAGACCGAAGGCCAGGTCAGGTGTTCGATTGGAGCGACCACTGGCGGGGGTCGCAACGTAGACGGTCCGAACGCCGGGATGTCATCGACATCCGCTTCGGTGAGGCCAGCAGCCTGGAGGATCTGCAGAGCGATGTCGTCGAGCCCATTCGTCTTCGCCGTGAGATAAGCAAGAGTATCTGTGAAAACGTTCAGCGGGTGATCAAGAGTCTGACAAGAGAACGCACGAGCACGAAGGCCGATGTCTCGCAACACAACGATGAGCCCCAAAATGTCGCCCGAATACAGCGCGTTGTGGAACCGAGACATGGGGTCACCCCTTGAATCAGCGATCTTCTGCATCTGCAGCAGTTTGTCAGTGCTTCCCTTAGTGAGTATGTGAAGGGCAGACGTTCTTCGTCTGCTGGAAGGCCTTCGCGCAATGCAATCTACGAGCGATGGTCAGATCGCTGATGCACTATAGTAACGTATGTGCATACCTCCAGGAAACCCTTCTGTTGTAGGTGCGCGATGACACTTTTACGAGTAGGTTAGACGTGCGAATGACGTGCAACATCTGCTCATGATTGTTTCGCAACAGAGCCAGTTTAGATCGGTATTCAGTCGCGTCGATGGTGATAGTCCTGGGGCGTGCAGATCGATCAAGGCAGTGGACGGTCTTTCCCTTCAATGACGCGCACTGAGTAGACAGGGTTGTCGAGCGTGCAGATGACGCCGCGGTCCCTGCAATATGGTCAAATGAAGGCGACCGTCGTGACATAAAGCAGCGTTACGCACCCCTGCGCAAGGCAGTACTTGATGTGGTTCAACGTCGAGTAGATGAACACGCCGGAGTCGTCCCAAGCACCAGACTTGATGCGAATCGTTTTGTGAATGAGGGTGCGCTCCGAAAAGTTCTTCGCGACGGTGATCGCTGTGGAATGCTCATCAACGGGACATCAGAGCGTTATGTGCCAGATACGTACTATGCTTGCTGAGGAGGGCGACCAATGTACCGTCCGGCCTCCATACAACGTACTTGACCGGCGGAGTAGTGATCTCCACACGCTTCTTCTGCTATTGGATATCGTAAAGTAGGATTGACGTTGTCGAGCTGAGGATGAGGCTCGCGGTGCCACCGTAGAAGAACTCGTTCGTCTGGGTTCACCCGACTGGACGGGCTACAAGTCAACCGCCGAGTGAGAAAGAATACATCTGAGAGCACAGGTGAGTAGATGGGAAAGTAGACTGCCGACCAAGATTGTAGAGAGGTGGTTGAATGCGGACAGGCGGGAAGGGAGACCTGAGCGAGTGGGCGGGGTGCAAGCGGGCGGCCGAGTGGGCGGTCGGACGACTGGACGTGCGACAAGTCGACGGCTGGGAGAGAAAGAAAGAAGCCGAAAGCACTAGTGAGCTCACGAAAAGGAAGGCTACCGAGCAAGGTCGTAGTGGGACGGTAGAAGGCGAGCAGGCGAGAAGGCAGGTGAGCGAGGTAGGAGAGGTGGTGTGGAGTTGTTGACGAGGACCGAAGTGCGAGGCGCCCATTCCGGAGGATGCCGAGTGAAGTTGGCGATCGCACGGTTGAGTGAAGCAATAAAATACGATTTGAAGAGCGATGAAGTTCCGTTGAAGTATCGTTGAGGATGACATGAATACTTGACAGAGTTCCAAATAGTAGAGATCAAACATTGTTCAGTTCGTACTAAAGTTCTATGTAAGTATTCTACCACAGTGTCTGATACGCATACTTAGATGCCCAGTTATTAAGCCAAAACTTAGTAGCTTTATCTAGTACAGTATGCGTGTCCCAGTCATCAGGTACTACTAAGTTATCGGTGCGTGTAGACCCAGGGGGACGTGGAACAAGTTGACAGGATTGTCGGATAATTGACAATGGAATAACCTCACCGACGGGGTTGCCATTCGCACGAAGGGGCGGTTTATGAACCGGGTACATCATGTGTATCGGATCGGCTTGTGTAGGTAGATTGGAGTACCATTCTACGTATGCTAGAGCCCCTTGGCTAGCCCAATTGGGCGGCGCTTGCAGAGGTCGGAGGGTACGGGGATCTCTGATGTTTTGAGGAAGTTTGAATATAACTTTGACACGTCCAATACGTGTGCCTGTGGACGAATAGGACATGAGTAAGAAGCTATGACTCAGACGTGAATAGAAACAAATCTACTCACCTTGCATGCCAGTAGCTTCCGCGTCCTCCCCCTGCAGCACAACCACGGTATCGAAACGTGCGGCTTGTCCAGCTTTGGCGGGCTTCGCCTTCACGGCGTCGGTTTCTTGGGTGTCATCGGTCAAGGATTCGGGGGTAAACTTGAAGCCGTGGAATACGTCAAGACGTTGGAACGGCATGTGGTCGACAGCTGTTTTAAGCAGTGAGGAAGTGAGAGGTCGACCGTCCTTGAGCTTGTAGATGTATTGTGCGACTGCATCAACGAAGCCTGGGGCGTGGTGTTTGTCGACAATGGATGAGAGAGCCTGGAGGGGTGCAGTGGGGTGCTTGGGTAGGTTAATTCGACCGTTCTTGAAGATCCGAGAGCCTGGTATTTTCTCTGGCTCCTGGTCTTCTGCGTCACTGACATCGATGTCATCCCCTGGCTCGAGACCGGTATTCCTGAGCCATCGGCGTATGGTAGAGCTGAGCACGACCATCTTCTCCTGTCGTGCCAGCCAACGAACCATCTGCGGACGCGCGTTGCGATGGTTCGATGCTCGCCAGCCGTTCTTCGCATAGTCGATGTGGAGGCGTTCAAACGCCTCCGTGTTGTAGTTGTCGGTAGTGCCTAAGAGTCGGATAGCGTCAACGTAATGAAGTAATGAGTGGAATTTAGGAATATTCAGATGGTCGCGCACTCCGAGATCTACGAGGATTTGTTTGTTGCGATGGAAAACCTTGAGTGCGTCCTCCATGTATTGGAGCGTAGTGTCGTCGTGAGTGGTGTATTGCGCTATGTAGATGAAGTCCAAAATCGACCTGAAGGCCAGGATGGCCTTCTTCGGTATCTTGCCGACCAGGCAGGCAAGCAGAATGCGCGCCATGTGCTTACGCTCGGTCCCGGAGACCTGGGATAGGGAGGAAATCCCGTTCTTGAAGTGGCGGGTACCGAACGCAGGCGGAAGGCAGCGGATGCGCCTGTCGAGCTCGTGCTCGTCGACAAGTTGAGTGCACCATTCGACGATGTGCTTAAAAACACCCTGGTACAATTGATGTAGTACGTCAGGGGTTATGCACGAATGGATGTCGGTGTACGGAAGATCGCGCCAGAACGGGCGCACGACGTAGCCTGAAACGTTGAGGTCTTGACACGCTCGAGTGTACGCGTTCGAGCTCGTCTTGCCTTGGGTCTTCTGGTTGGCGAGTCGGAGTACGTCTAGCGTCCAGAGGGAGGTTCTGGGCATCCCAGGTTGCGCGGACTCAAGGAGGTCCTCAGGTACCTGGCACTTGGGGCAAGTCCCAGATTTGGCGCAGGTGACCAGGCACTGCTCTGGATAATCCGCGACATACGCGGCAAGGACGGGATGCACTCGACGAACCTCTCCGTCGCCTGAGGTTACGTCGATGCCTTCCTTACCCGCCTTGACTAGCGGCTCCAGGATTGCGCCAACGGACGCATGGAACAGTTGTTGTACGAGGGCGCGTTGCTTGCGCTGCGTGATGCCGTCCGAGCTGACTTTGTCCACCGACAGATAACCTATGAGTATGCAGGCGTGCTCTGAGGGCTTGCGCCTCAGAGCCCGAGGTATATTACCTAGCGTCATGTATACAGGGTACGCCGCCTTGTTGCCAGAGAACTGAGTTAACTGGGTTTTGTCCGTAGCTATGATTACCGGCGCAACAGCCGCGCCTACCGGTAAGAGACTCTGTACTGCAATCAGAAAAATCGATCTTCTACGGTCGTGTAAGTACTCACCTGGACGGCGTGCCACCAACGACCGGTCCACATTTCATTGTACAGTCGGTGCTTCCTTGACGCGTCTGAAAACAATCGGCGCGGTCGATACACGATTCGATCGGCGTGCTCCGGGTTGCCTAGTAATGTACGTATCGCCTGGATGATATCGCGGAACTGTAGTAGGTGTTTTTCATTAGGACGATCCTTGAATGAGAGCAGGCGTTCTGTCCACTCCGCTCTCTCAGGCAGAGAGTCCACGTGCTGGAGGAGAGCCCGGCTGTTGTGGTACGAGAGACCCAGTCTCTCTTGAAACTGAGGTGTGTCAGCAGATATTACTAACAGAGCACGAGTACTCACCCCTGGTATCTGCAATACTCTGTCAATGGACCCCTGCGTTAGTCCTTCCTGGATTGCCCAAGATGCGAAGCGCCAGTCCATCTCGGACTCAAACGGCTCCCAAGGGATATTGGTGGGATCTGTGGTACCCCCGCCATCTGGGTGTTCTTCAGCGCGACCATTTTCTGCGTCCTCAACATGATTCGAACGAGCTACTCTACGGTGAGAAGTACTCGTTATCGGTCAAAACATTACTCACCTTTAGGCCTTGTTTCCCTGCCCTCTAGCCATTTGCGCCGCACCTCTGGGTCGACGTGAGTAACTGTACCCGCGTCTTGGTCTTCGTCTACCACTCGCTCGTCCTCATCGTCATCAAGCGACAGCGCGGTTCGTCTGGAAGTCAAAGCTCGTGCCGCCTGAGTCGATGGACCGGGATCGCCGCCGCCTGCACTGTTGTCGCCGCGATCTCGTTCGCCGCCTCCGCCTCCACCATCTTGCCCTGACCCTCCAGGATCACCCTGCGGCCGAGAAGGAGCGCAGACCTGAATATAGTCGTAGAGTGAAGAAAGTTCCGCTGCTTCATCGCTGTCATCTTCTCCAAGGTATGCATCGTCTGGCTCGTCGTTCTGGGAACCGGAACGATTAGGTAGGGTGAACAGTTCCGTGTTTCTACATGCACCGGTTACATTATATGACCAAAGGTGCGATAAAATTTGATTGGCTTACCGTGCGTCCTCGATTGTTACACCGTCGCTTGGCTCTTCTTGATCGTGGTCGACATTGAATATTTCTTTCAGTTTCCCTTTCTTGTACCAGGAGCATTTCCTGCTCGTGCTCTGGTGTGCGGCGAGGCCCTGTGTCGTTTCGAAGGGCTGGTTACAGGCGCCGCAGGTGTCATTGAGGAGGTCCTCAAAGGTGCGCTTCCGCTTTGGTCTGACCATAACTAACCCAGAAATTCACTGCAGACTTCAGAAGCGATGATACAGAGACACAAAACTGCAGCTAGGACTAGGGGAAGAGACTCGAGACGATGCAGAGCCTGAGGCTTAAAACCATGCTAAAAAATTCAGACGTCCCTTCACCTGTCATGTCACTGCTTTAGCGCTTCAGCGTTAGTTCAGCGCGTTACCCCGCATCTTTCTCCTTCAGCCTTCATGTAGGTTACGAGCACCAGCAAGTATACGTTCGCTTTTCACTTTCCTACATGAGACCATGCTGATAATGGTTCCTGTGTTGTTATAGGTCATTCGTCTGCGTGTTCGCGTGTTCATCTGCGTGTTCGTCCAAAAAACGCGACGACAACTGTTGCGATCTTACATTGACACGCGTTGCTACCGTAAGTACGTACTTTGACAGTTCGTCTCTCAAGCTCAGTAGGGATTTCAAACCCTCTTCGCCAAGTTGGCGTGGACGCACGGTAAGCACATTTTTGATGTTCTGGTCTCTTGAGTACTGTACTTCAAAACCGCTCGCCAACCTGTGGCGTAAGCCGCTGTAAGCCGTGCGCAATGGCGCTTCGCACGGCACACGGCACGCGCCACAGGGCACCGCGGATCGAAACCCGAGCCGCCCCGATTAGATTCAAATGCCGGCAGTGCCAGAGCGAGCTTGGGTTGATCATGAGGATGAGTCGTGAGACAAGGAACCCTGTTAACTGTGAGCCTGTGAGTGAGCAATCGAGGTGAGCTCGTGTTCGTTCAATGAGAACATGGCCAATACTAAACGGATGTTTTGTCGGAGGCTGAGCGGAAGCGTTTAATCTAGGCCATGTCACTTGACAACGCAGGCTCCGTTTGAGTCAGCAAGGGCGACTGAGTTCTTGAGGGTCTCAGCCCTCTGAGGAACTGACTTGCCGTTAACCACGTTCACCAACATGTCAACCACCTCTATCGTTCGGTCTCGGACTCACTCATCTCACTCTTCGCGCTCACCCACCCCCCTACCTTCTCAGTCTTATACCCACTCGTCTCACTCTTCGCGCTCACCTACTCCCCGACCTCTTGGCATAATAACGTTCGACCATACCAGAAGGGAAGCGCCTGTCACAGTTCAGGATACGAACACCGTGCAATCAGGTGAGCTGTCCAAAGTGCTGTCCTTAACGCAGAGGGAACGTCGGCTTATGCAGTTTAACTACTAAAGGAACGGAGGACGATTACCCGGACGTCGTGCGGAAGGCTTTCGGAGATCGCTACTCTGAGCTTCCGTACGTGACAGGGGAAATAGTGAGTATTAGCACGTTATTGTATCTCGTTTATTGTCACTCATTACGTCGCATGCAGAAGACAGCAGATTTTACGTCGCAGGAGTGGGAAGAATTGCGCAACTGGCTAGGGTCTAACGACACACTCAATCGCTTCAAGTAGGTCTATTTCCAGATGAGACAGACGGATGCGGATGATTACTGAATACAAGAAACGAGGTTTGACTATGATCAAGACAGGCAGGAGTTGACTACCATGGCGCCATCTCCCATACACGATCGTATCATAGCGCTGCTGAGGACGATGAATGGAGAGAGGTGGGCCGAGTCCTTCAGACCGCCGAAGTGGATCCGACGAGCCTTGGACATCGACATCGGCCAGGCGGAGTATGCCTCTGTGCGTGGCAAGAAAGGAAACAAGATAGTGGGCGATATGGTCGAGGCGATCTCAGTGGGCGATGTTCTCGTAGTTACTGACGTTAATGAGACCGCGAAATCTCAGCCTGTCTACACGACTGACAGCGAGGAAGGGGCATTGCCTAAAGTAAGTACGAATAGTTGATAGCAATTTCGCTGGTCACTCAAATGTACGTACAGATTGTGGACATAGCGGACGTCCTGATGGGGAACACAAAAGTGGATGGCGCAGGCGTGCCCTCATGTGGGCTCATTGCCCTGTCCTGCTTCAACATTGAAGAGCTCCAGCCCGGTAAGAGCGCAAAGGCGAAATGGTCTTCGCCAGAGACGAAGGAATACACAGTCAACGCCATCACCTACGACGAACACACCTACAAAAAGATGTTGCGCGAGAATCCGGACTTGATCAGCGGAGCTGGTCCGTTCATTGCAGAGCACAAGGCTACGTTCTTCGGCGCGGTTCGAGTCTGGTGGATATACGTTCCAGTGGAGGAACTCGATACGCTCAGGTTGGGAGTGCGACTACAGTGGAAAATGGAGGAGTGGGTGGCTAGAGGGTTGGCCATCGTAAGTCTTTATCCAGTAGCTGATAGACGTTCACTGACAGCGCCGCACCGCCTAGCCGATCCTCGAGTATTATGACGACAACATGAAGCCATTGGTCGAGAAATTCCTGCGTAAAGTTCGCAACGGCTACGAGAAGCGATTGGCAACGCTAGCCAAGCTTCTGTCTCGCCGTGAACACAAGCAAACGCTCCTGGACGCTCTCAAGCTCGTGGAAGACGATAACGTGCGGGAGGCTCAGGCTGAAGAAATGTTGACGTATATTCGCAAGTTGCTCCATCCCAGCGATGAGGCCCTGTGCTATGACGAAGACGTGCATCGCATCATTCGCAGCATCAGGGAAGGTGCGCGAGGGACCGCCGTCGACCGCCTTCGCAATGTCTCCTTGCTCAAGGGCCAGGCTGCGGTTGCGCTGCAGGGCAGCGCGAACAGTCAGTTCATTGCGGCGGTGGAGTCTGAGGAAGACAAGAACGATATAGAGGAGGAGTTCTTCGTCCTTAGCAAACAGGCTCTCAAACGCAAGCGTGACAGCACGTCTGACGGTGAGGGCGAGCAGGCGAAGGATAGACTCAAAGAGCGGCCCAGCTCGAGTTAGCTGGACACGATGTCCTAGTCCTCGTCATCCCCATCACGTCACCGTCATCGCCCTCCCCTTGTCCGAGTCACCGCCATCGCCGTCATCGTCGTCGTCACCTCAACGTCACCGTCCTCTCAACGACACCGTCTCCCGTGTCGCCGTCTCCCGTCGCCGTCTCCCGTCACCATCGCCGTCTCCCGTCGCCACCATCTCGCCGTCTCCCGTCACCGTCGCGTTCGCGTTCGCAATGTAAAGTGCTATCGATTGCTGTTGTAGTTTGCTAGTTGTGCTATACATCCTACGTTCTATGTTCAATATATATGTGTGGGTTGGACTGCAAGCCCTAACCCAAATTGTAGCGCTGGCCGCATTCACAATCAACGACTTGATCGAATCGAATGCGACGCTCTCTCTGGTCCTCTCACGTCTTCTCACATTCGAGTTTTCCACGAAATGAGGCTAAGTCTACAGGAGATGAAGGAGCTCAGTGAGCTCCTGTCCTCAATCCAGGGGACTTTGAGTCCTAACATGACGTCTCTGCTGGCACGTCTGTCATTGGACGTTGCAACAACGGCCTGCGAAATGGCCTGTGAAACGGCCTGCGAAACGGCCTGCGATACTCACCAGGACGCCGAAGACATGGCACATGCCAGTGGTACTGAAGTGGCCGTAGGTAAGCCTGTCTTGTTTCTACATGTCATGCTAGTAAATGACATGCTGCACGTCTAGTCGAAGAAGCTGGTAACATTACGCATACGACCTCAAGCAGTACAGTAACGGTACAAGGTAAACGTATTGATTGATTGTGAGTCCATCGTACTCACAAAGTCTCAGAGCCTGCACGCCGCGCGATAGGTCCAAGGCGACCGTCTAGGTCCCGTCGTAAAATCCCTGTAGCACCGTACAACCCTGCGTCTAGGCCTGCTGGTAGCAATCAACAGCAGCCAGCACACTTCCCACTGCCGCCCTGCCCCAGGAGTGGCATCCAGTGGATCGCCAGCGACATGCAGCCCCGAGCAGCCTGGGAGATGTCGTCTAAACCCCATGAAGCTGCTAACACGTCCGTCGTCAATTTCCTGTCGACTCTCACTGCATACGACCAGAAGGATGATATCGCCGGCTGCGCGGACTCACTCTTTGCGCCTCACCAAGCTTCGTACGGCGACAAGAGTGAGACGTTGTCTCAGCTAGTAAAACGTTGCAAGGCGATGGAGAGCAAACGCGGTGTATTTGACTTCCATTTCATGGTCGCCCTCATGAGGGTGAGCTTCGAGTGCGCAAGGTAAATCTAAAATTATAACTTGACAACGACAGGCTGACACGTTTGTGTGTCTAGTTTGTCCGGATGGGCCGACGTCAACATCTCAGCTTTATGGCGCGACCACCTTGCGAGCGAGGCCAAACCGCCCAGCATCCGAACGTTACAATACTGGTATTCCAGAGGTACTAAGTTGGCAAGGCTTGCATCAGGAGGTGAGATACCTGTGTCGTGTGCGCTAGACAGTACTAGATTGATGGTGAAACTGCATTAAAGGAACCGTTTACATGCTTGTGTGGATGGCATACACCAACTTACGTGTGCCGTTCATTGAGGCGAATGGCAATCTGGCATCAGACCTCGCCAACATATTGCGATGCCCAGATGCTGGTGAGTCCAAGTCTGCTCGCATCATGCTGCGTGCACTAAACACTCAACTGGATCTAGAGAGCCCAGTGGGACGACAAGTCCTGCAGACTGTCATTCCCACTGTGGCGTTTCTATCCGACCAGTCCCCTATACGACTGGGCGACCTATTCACAGTAGATACACTCACCGCACTGGGCGTCTCGGCTGACAGCCTATGCGGCGACCTCAATATCTCTGACAGGTTCTTCAGTGCTCTTCCTTCAAAGTAAGTGACTAACAGACCCGGCGATTGGTTAATGGCGCTGACTATCTCCCACACAGCTCTTTTACTGCCGTCCCACGCAACCCAGAAGCTTGGGCTCATTTTGGTTGTAGCCAGAGAGAAGAACCCCTTTCCCCTCTCACACCGCTGTCACAATTGTCACCACTACTCGAAATCGATCGCTTCCCTTGTTCGCCTGAACGCTCAGTGTCCGCTTCCACTATTCGCGACGACGCTGGATTCGCTACAACTGCAACGATTATCGCATCAAAGTACGATGCAGACCTAACGCACAACCGACAGTTCAAACCTCCTAGGCATAGAGAGAAGAACGCACGATGGACTGAGCTTCAACGGTCCGTGGCAATGGAAGCCATGGAACCTTCAAGCCTAGATGAGCTGCGATCACTGGTAAGTTGCAGTCCATGTACTCGTAATCACAGCTAACGCAATCACCAATTGATAGCTACAGACACAGTATGTGGACGGCATGCGCCCAACCAGCAAGGGATACGTCAGGCTCAAACGAGATCTATTTGAGTAAGACAGAACAATGCGAACTGTTCTTTGACTCTGAAGATCTGATGTCCGTATCGACAGGGACGTACTCGCTATACAGTCTGTACAGTCAGGCGTTATCGCAAATATCTGCAAATCAATGCCGCAGAGCCTGCGAGACGGTCTGACGGATCGTCTCGCAGCGTGCCTTGAGCCTGATGCCCTGAAGGCAATAGACACAGCTCAGGTTGGCGGTGACCATGTCTTCCAGGTCATGCATTTCTCTTGGTACAATCGCCACTGTACCACTGTACGTTCATGTTCTCAACTGATTGAGTGTTGCTCCCTACTAACGAATCATGCACCTTTGTAGGGAAAAGACGCTCCAGTGAACGTGCCGCCTATGACCATGAAGAGGACTGGCGGTCTCAAGACTAACTATCATCAGTTCATTCCATACCCGTCCAAGGACATGACGCAGTCTACAAATGCATCAATTTACCAGTCCGTGAAGAATATCTTAGGACCTGTGTTTGACTGGCTCGACGCGAAGGTAAAGCAATCTCATTATTCGTACCTACCAATACAATATTGAAACGCAAAGGCATCCTCAGCTTAAAGATATGCTGCCAGGAGTATACGAACGACTCGATGCATATGCTCGCATACTGCCTGGAAACAACACTGCAGTGTCCGCACCATTCCTCGGCCTGGTCATCAATCTTAACGTCGTGACGGCGGCCCACCGAGATAGCAAGGACGACAGTTTTTGCCTCGTCCTCGCAATCGGTGATTTTGAAGGGGGTGAGCTTGTTTTGTATGAACCGGGTTTGGTCATCCCTCTCTGCAACGGCGACTTCGTCATATTTCCTTCGTGCACCTTAACGCATTTCAATCTACACTACAAGGGTCGGCGAGCATCCATTGTTTTGCACACGGACAAGGAAATGACAAAGTGGCTAGAGCAGCGCAATGGATGGTCGAGTAACAATAATCTCATTTGATGTACCTACCCCTACGTACGCGTAGCCTACATATCTGGCTCCCTTGTGTTAAGCACTTACAGTGACGGTGACACTGCGCCGCCCGCTCTGGTATGACGTAATCTCATTGCAGCGACGGCGGTTATCGTCGTCTTCCTGTCCCTCTCTCTCATGCTCTTACCACCACCATCACCTAGTGTTCGATCGCCCGCTGCTCGTCTACTGCACGCCTGCCGCCGCCTCTACGATCTGCATACAAGATGCATCCATGCCGTTCAAATCTCACTGGCACCTCGCAGTGCGTGTTGGCTCGTCCGAGATCGGGCCTGAGCCGCTCTCAACCGACCATGCGATGGACGTGGATGCGAGCCTGACTGAAAGCACAGACACAGACCCCGCCTCGAGGCTAACTGACATGGCTGCAGTGTCGTGTCCGGGAGGCAGCATACACGTAGTATCTGCATAACCTACCCCATTGGTCGCCCGTCTTGGCGTGTGGCATTCGCGACGACCACGACATCACACTACCGCCTGCGGCGATCACTCCCCGCCGATCTGAACGCGCAGGTCGAGCAGCAGTTCACGTTCCGCGCGGTGTTCGTCGGGTGCGTGTTGAGGCTGAGCGTGGTCATCTCGGAGAGCAAGTACGTGGGGGCTTCCTGGTTGATGAGCGTGGACTGACCTATTGCCGTGTCTCCAGTGTGTATCTGGGCCTCAAGACGGGCTGGACGCGCCGAACGTTCGGCGCGTCCATGTTCGGGTCCGTCTGACCTGACATAACCGAGTTCGCAACATGCGACACCTGAAGTCATCAAAGCTCTTCGCACGCCCTCAGCCTCTCTTCGCAAGACGGCGTTGTCGCCGCATCGCAAGGCGAACAAGGTGGGTGGGCCAGTACGAGCTTGATTGTGAACTGACTCAGCAGGAGCCGGACGCCTCAAAGCCCGAGGAACGCACGCCGGTGCGCAGGGTGCGAGCGATCGCGGTGCGCAGGGTGCGAGCGACAGGCGGACGCGATATGCGGGCGGCGGGCGCGGTGCGCAGGGCGTGAGCGGGCGCGGTGCGCAGGGTGCGAGCGACAGGCGAGCGACAGGCGGACGCGATATGCGGGCGGCGGGCGCGGTGCGCAGGGCGTGAGCGGGCGCGGTGCGCAGGGCGTGAGCGACAACCCTCAGCCTCTCTTCGCAAGACGGCGTTGTCGCCGCATCGCAAGGCGAACAAGGTGGGTGGGCCAGTATGAGCTTGATTGTGAACTGACTCAGCAGGAGCCGGACGCCTCAAAGCCCGAGGAACGCACGCCGGTGCGCAGGGTGCGAGCGATCGCGGTGCGCAGGGTGCGAGCGACAGGCGGACGCGATATGCGGGCGGCGGGCGCGGTGCGCAGGGCGTGAGCGATCGCGGTGCGCAGGGCGCGAGCGACAGGCGAGCGACAGGCGGACGCGATATGCGGGCGGCGGGCGCGGTGCGCAGGGCGTGAGCGGGCGCGGTGCGCAGGGCGTGAGCGACAACCCTCAGCCTCTCTTCGCAAGACGGCGTTGTCGCCGCATCGCAAGGCGAACAAGGTGGGTGGGCCAGTATGAGCTTGATTGTGAACTGACTCAGCAGGAGCCGGACGCCTCAAAGCCCGAGGAACGCACGCCGGTGCGCAGGGTGCGAGCGACAGGCGAGCGACAGGCGGACGCGATATGCGGGCGGCGGGCGCGGTGCGCAGGGCGTGAGCGATCGCGGTGCGCAGGGTGCGAGCGACAGGCGGACGCGATATGCGGGCGGCGGGCGCGGTGCGCAGGGCGTGAGCGATCGCGGTGCGCAGGGTGCGAGCGATCGCGGTGCGCAGGGCGTGAGCGATCGCGGTGCGCAGGGTGCGAGCGATCGCGGTGCGCAGGGTGCGAGCGACAGGCGGACGCGATATGCGGGCGGCGGGCGCGGTGCGCAGGGCGTGAGCGACATGCGGATGGACACTCGACAAATGTATTATTACTCTGGCAGCTAGTGCAATACAGTCGCATCTAACATTATGCCGGAATCTGCTCCCAGGTGCATACGAGTCAGCAGGTACGATTTTCACTGGGCCTTACTACTGCTTCACTACGCTCAGGATGTTCTGTAAAATAATATGAGCGCTTTACCAGCGAATAGCGCTCGGCCTCTGTGAACTTCTCCGTGCATCGATCGTTGAACTTCACACCGTCTCGGCACAGGCTATCAGAGGTGCGTATTTTCTTTCCTCTTACCACAATCTATACTCTCACTCTCTTCGCCTTTTTCGAGTCCAGTCATGACCAAGCGCGTCACTCGGTCGATCGCAACCGAACAAGGCTCCGGCACGCGATCAACCAGGTCAACGAAGGCTTCTGCAGCCGCAGGCGGCTCGAAGAAAAGCACCAAGCCTGCGAAGGTTAAGCCGAACGAAGGAGCCGCTAAGAAGAAGGCGCAGGAGATGGAGAAGGAGAAGGAGAAGGAGAAGGAGAAGGAGAAGGAGAAACTAACAGCGAGTGAGTGCTGGCAGTTGCGCGACAATATTTATCTGGGATGGTTGATGCTGCGTGGTAGACATACGCAAGAGAGCTTCTAAGTTGATGGCGGAAGAGGAGTCCTCGGCGGACGAAGAACCAAAACCCAAGAAGAAGAAGAAGAAGCAGCAAGTCGTTCAAGATGACGAGCAGGACATGGACGCGCAGGATAAGACAGCTGAAGACAACCCAGAGGACGTTGAGATGGAGGATGTTGCTGCTGAGCAGCGTAAGGCGTCTCGGCGTACGTGGTTGGTTCATTATCCCTCATAGACACTGCTGAATCAGTCGTCGTGATTGTACGAAGCCAAACCGAAGCCAGCGTACGGCAAATTTGCCAAGACCGGGACCGCATTGGAGCCCGCCGAGCAGGACCTCGCACAAATGTTGAGTAAGTGCTATCGCACATATACCAATTACGGCTAGGCTTCAAAATTTATGTAGGTGGAGGAAGACGTCAAATTAAGCAGAATGTTGTGAGTGGTAGCAAGGGAGGGGAGCTGAAGAAGAAGACGACACAGCTCAAGTCTACCACTGGCGCGTCTGCCGGCGCCAGCGGCAACTCTAGACAGGGAGCTGGCAAACTGAAAGCTACGCCGGCGAGTGCCAAAGTAAGTCTAATCATCGCAGAATCCGATATCGCTCACTTCTGTTGAGAACCGACAGGACAAGGGCAAGGCTAGAGCAAGTCGCAAGGATGACACGCCAGTCGAGGAAGAGGTCGAGGAAGAAACCGAGGAAGCGGTCGAGGAAGAGGTCGAGGAAGAGGTCGAGGAAGAGGTCGAGGAAGAGGCCGTCGAAGAGGCCAAGGGAGAGGACAGTGACTCCGAGGATGAGGAAGACGATGGGGCTGAGGGTGGGGGTGCACACAGTGGGTCTGAAGATGCGGAGGATGAAGATGCGGAGGATGAAGATGCGGATGCGGAAGTCGAGAACTCGGATGAGGGTGATGTAATAGTGAGTGCCGCCATACAATTGACTAAACATCATCAACATGCCATTCACAACGTACAGGTACTGTCTGATACCAAGACCCGACGCAAGCGTGCTCCCGCCAAAGCGACTGGCGGTGAACGCGAGAGCAGCAGTCGTGTCAAGGTCGCGGACTTGCCCCCGACGTCAAGTCTCTGGTGTCGACAGCGCAGAACAGTCTGCGGCTGTACGTCGCCCTCAAATCCGCCTGGACGAAAGAGAATTCCGTCACGTCCAAGCGGCTCCATCGCCGCGACAAAGTGATCGAAGCGTGCCTCCGCGAGGCATATTTGGGACGCGGCAAGAATCGCAAAACAAACGCTACCTTGAAGAAGGCGTTTCAGTCGCTGCAGGTCCGAGAGATAACAGCTACAGAAGAGAAGGAGGTTCAGGAGCAGAGGGAGGCTAACGAAGAGAGGGAAGAGATGCAGGGGAAGGTATACACGGTGGTGAGTATTGTTGACTTAATTCCTTGAGAAGGTAGGACACTTCATTTCATTACAGGTCTGGACGTGCTCCTCGCAAACGAGGAACGAGCTCAAAAAGAAGGCCAAGCAAGTGATCGAGCAGGTCTTCAAGCTCGGCAGCCTCACCGTAGCCCAACGATCGGAGGCCGCTGTCTGGCTTCTGGAGACGCATCCCACGGCGGTAAGCGACGGCACTCGCACTCGTAACATCGCAAACTTTGTTTTCGGAGGCATCGAATTACACTTCGACCGCAAGAAGAAGAATCTCGATCGAGAGGTATGTGCTTAGCACAGGTGTACGGAATATAGAACACCACTTAGAACTCACGTTGGTCTCACGTCGGTCCTAGCGCACCAAGGTCGAGCAGATGGAGCCGTTCCGCAACGAATGCATCCCCGAACTCATCTACCAGTACTATGGCTTGGCCGGACGCGCAGACGCTAGTATCAATGCAGCGCTGGAGGATTTCAGCCAGGTCCCGCTAAATCTCATCGCCGTCTGTTGCAACGCAGTAAGCATTGGTTTCTTTACAACGTATTTACTCACTACTCTCGTAAACGTATTACCTAGATAGAAGCAGCGTTGATGGAGGTGACGTCGCATCAGCCCATCGCATTCTCCAACAAGCACTTCGCCGCAAAGTGAGTTTAATTGGTTTCAACTAACAGAAAGTGAATATTAATGATTGTAGGTGGGATGGCATTATGGCCATCCTAGAGACTCTGGAAGCCAAAGCTTCGGAGTACCTTGAGGAGACACAAGAGGTAATTTGGGAGCACGTCAGGTATTTTACAGATATTGGCACACTTTCTGATTACTGATTGCATACAGCACTCGGCTCAACGCTGGCCCCAATGCATTCGAGGCGTCTGTGGATGACGATGAGCAGTCGGGTGGGTTCATCCCCCTGCTCCAGTTGCGCGCGTCCAAGCCTCGAAGCAGCAAGTCGAGCACAGCGAAGAAGGCGAGCAAATCAATGCCGCGAAAGACCGCAGGCAAGCCATCCAGCTCTTCGAAGGCCATACGTACCCCTCCTAGCCCATCCAAGAGTGCGAAACAGCCGCCCAGCACGTCGAGGAAGCCGACGTCAACGACCAACAATGCCAGCGACGACGGAGCAGCGGGCGCCGCTGATGGCGAAGGCGATGGCGATGGCGACGGCGATGGCGATGGCGACGGCGATGGCGACGGCGATGGCGATGGAGCTGAGATAGACGAGCTGCAGGAGCCTGGGGAAGGTGAGTGCAACTTAGCATCTATAAAAATCTCTCGGCATTGACATTGTGCAGAACCTGCTGTCGCTGCCAGTCCCTCGAACGGTGGAGATGCCTGAGTACTACGAGTCACTGCTAACGCCTCTGCTAACGCCTCCTTCGCCCTCGCCCTCACTCCTTGCTCTCCTTTTCGCTCTTGCCATTCGCTTTTTTCGCTCTCGCCATTCGCTTTTTTAGCTCTAGCCATTCCCCATCCCATGCCATCGACGTCTCCATCACTCCTGTCCCTCACTCGTACGTATATAGCTGTGGCTACATCAAGCGCCAGTCACTGTAGCTGATCGTCTGTTCGTATCGTTGCATGTACCAGTACCGTTTGTTATGCTGTATATGTACTGAACACAGTTTGAACGCCTACAAATACCATGCAAGCTTCAGTGCGACGAAGTAAGCTGAAGCTGCAATAAATAAGCAAGCTACCTACTGTAGTGCCAAAGCATACTGACACATCATTGACACTTCATGTTACTTAAGTGCAACTAAGCACGCATTTGTTGCACAAGCGTGGATACCTCTGTACAATGCTTTTTATTACATCATGCTCCATATATCGGTTTATGAGTACTTTTTTCGCCTGTTTATAAAACAGACTTGTGTATTTTGAGCTTCATTAACTTAAGCAATCTTAACGTCTTAAAGCTGCAGAATATGTCAGAAAAAGACAAACATGTTTTTCCTGATGTGCTTCCTATCCCGGGTCATCTGGCGGCGAATCAACCCTTGGTGTCGATCCGTTGCACGGTGCCGTGCAGGATGTTTGCGCTACAGACTTGGTTACTATCTACGAGGTCAGGATCTCTGTCGTGCCGCAATGTTTATGCACTTATCCTTGATGTTGGTAGCGCCTGGACAACCTGAAATGTCGGATGTCATGTCTTCAGGCCGATATGTACGAGGTAGTCAGCATCTTGGCTGATATCAAGGCGCAACTGTCCGAGTGCGGGCTCCGCGGTTAGGTCAGTGTAGGGCTGCTTGAATGGAGTGGATTTGTGTGCGGGGTAGGAACGGTGGAATACGAGGTGACTGGCATGCGCGTAAAGTATACGTAGACGGTACAAATGACATCTACGTGTGGCGGTGTCATGACCGAAACAATCTTTGGGATGCCCGAGTCTTCTTGCTGGCCATATTTATAACAATATCCTCCGACGTCAATACTCGACGTGTGTCTAGTACTAGTCGAATGCCTACAGAGTACTCAGTGGCGTAACCTTTTGCGAACTTGAAGCTTAAGCGCGCCGCTGTCGTAGTCATCAGCAAAACAGCGACTTCGTCTGAACATGCCTGAGACGTCTGACATCAGTCGAATCAGGCACCTCAGACAGTTCAGACCCCAGGTCTGAAAAGGGTAGATTCAATTCTGACTTCAGACGCAGTGTCTGATGTCAGCTCACCTTTCAGACACTTTCAGACACGATTCAGACCACCCATCAGACTCATCGGACCTCACGAACCCAATATATTTGTAGGTCCCTACACGTACTCTTACATACATGTACATGCTGCATTTGCACGCAGATCATTCGTCCTGTGTGTTCGCAGTCGGCGTATGTCCGCGCCCCGGCCGCAGACTTGTCCCCGTCGACTCGCCCGCCATCGTGCACTTGTCTCGCCCGTCCTATCACCATGTGTACCGTCGGTTCGTCGGTCGCGTTTGCGTGCTCGGCATTTGCCCTGCACGCTCGTGGTCGTCGTGCGTCGTCGCCTGCTTGTGTGCCCGCCAGCCAGTCAGGCCGCTCAACCGCTGGTCTGCTCACCCACTCACCTGCCCACTCGCCCGCTCGTTTTCTCGTCAGTTCACCCGCTCGGTGGTTCCTCACGCACTCACCCGCTCGCACTTCCGCCCGCCCGTCCGTTCATCCGCCCGCTCGCTCGCCCTCACGCCCGCCCGCTCGCACATCCTCCTCGTCCCTACGTCTGTGATAGCGTTCGTCGGCCGCGTCCACGCGCAGGGCATTGGCCCCTAAGTCCTCCCTTCGCGCACGCGCCCGCCGCCCATTTCTCTGCCACGTCCCGAGTCGGTGTGCCTGGTTGTATGACCGCCGTCGTGAAGGAGACTAGGCGCATAGGGGAGGGAGATGCGGGCACGCGCTCCTCGTTGGTGCGGCTTGTCCTCGCCCATCGGTCCCGACAGTGAATCTGACCCGCTCGGGCTCGCATGGCTGTGGTTGATACTCGTTCCTGTGTGCCCTGCGCTAATCAGTCGCGGATGCAGCGGGAGCATCGTCGGGAGCGCGGGTGCGTCTGACGGCGGGTAGCTCTGCACCTCAGTCTGATGTGCCGCTGCCGCAGGCGAATGCGTCGGTAATCGCTGGCGGAAGGGGATCAACAAGTCGTGAGAGCACTGGTGGAGAGGGGCGTCCGCCAGAGCCGGACTGAGACAAGACACACCTGATATTTCCATTTTTAAGCGCGCTGCCGATGCTCTCGACACAGCTGCACTTCATGTCGATGCTGCGATCGTCGGGTTCGGTGCTGAGTGGACGTTTCGTGCCCGATATTGGAGGTGACGCGCGAGACAGCATTACGGCTGGCGATTGCGGCACATCATCATCGGCGAATGACCTGGCCCAGGACGTGAACCGCCTAGACCGATCCGCCCACCAGGAAGAGGACCGAAGCTGCGCGGGTCAGCTGGTCAGCGATACAGCGCGGCTCGAATCCAACGGTAGACTCATGGGAGCCTCCCCAACACCGTCGTCGTCGTCCATGTCGAGAGCCTTGCGGGCGGTTGCGGCGCGCTGCCCGTCGACGATGGCGGCACCGAACGACTCGCGCTCCCCGAGCCTGTCGAGCTGGGGTACGGGCTGCCCTTCAGCTGCCCGTTGTAGTCAGCGCCATGCCCCGATTCTCCTACTTACTTGGTTCCTCCTTCACGCGCTTCGCAGGTGCGTATCGCTTATGCTCTTTCTCCAGTGTCTCGCCCGCCGCGGTTCCCGTTCGAGCTCTGAGAGTCCTTGTCCTTCGTGCCATTCCGGCGACGGCGGTCCTTCGGCTCGGGCTTCCTGGCAGGCGTTGGCTGCTGCAGTATACGCAGGCTCTCCGACGTATGTCTATAGCCAATTCAAGTTGACAGAGAGGATGGGTGGCTGCACCGAACAACGGGGTTGGCAGGAAAGTCGCGAGTCGCAACCGTTGACATGGACGAGTGGGTGACGTGGCGCGCCTGTTTAGGGCAGGCGCCCGCGGTACTTGTTCCTCACCGAGCCTCCTTCCCTCCCGTCTGAGCGCTAAGTTAGCGCTCACCCGTACACACAGTATCCTGAGTCGATACCACAACCACAGTGCTCGTGTTACTATGCAGTATTCGTGTAGTATGTACTTAGGTTTATTAGGATATAATGTAGACTACTTACTTACTAGTAGTCAAAACTTCGGTCAGTCTATTTCGTCAGAGCCTGTGACAGTAGTATACAGTGATACTAGCTTGTATGTAGTACTAGTAGCTTCAAACCTACGGTCTGTCGCGACTGACACGACTGACGCGACTGAGGAGACTGACGGGCTCTGAGCGAGTGAGCCAAGAACGACCCGAGGTCGCGCGGAGCATAAGCGCCCAATCACGTCAGCCATGACAGCGATCTCAGACTCCGGATCAGGCCCTTCATTAACCTCAGGCGCCGTCAGACAGTGCGCCGTTTTGCTGATGACTATTCCCCACCAACCTTCTTGCAGACGGCCGCCTTACTACGTACCATGCGGCGACTCATACACATTCGTCAACAATGTCGACGAAAATGGCTCTTGCGGAGGAACGCGTCCCTACGCCTTGCATTTCACCAGGCAGGGATGTATGCCATAGCCTCCATCCTCCTCCTCCTTCCGCCGACGTCTCTCCTGGTTGCAGCCACTCTTCTCAACGTCCCCATAACTCCGGTTGTCGTTTGGTTGGCCGACATGCTGTTATTGATTTTCCTTGGCTACAGTAAGTATGTCGACGCAGGCTCCAGTCCGCGCAACGAGCTGACGCCCGCTCCAGAAGCTCTTCAACCCGACGCACTGCCTTGCCACTCCGAACCAAATGGCTCTCCGTTCACAATTTTCGTGGCTGGAGTTGCGCAGAAGCCGGTACAGACAGGTGAGGAGGTCAGACATTCGTCCAATCCTGTTAATGACGACCCACTAGTCGTTCGGGCCGACTGCACTATACGAGACGTCCTTCGCCAACTTAGACGACAACATACGGTCGCAAATCTGCGCCGTATCAGATGCGCTGTACACTATGACCCATTCAAATCTTCAGCTCTACGTCTACACGACCGCCTCTGCGATATAGGTGCAGGACCTCTGTCCACCCTGCACATCCGCTTTCATGTCTTGGGCGGAACCAAGGATAAAGGAAAGGCTCGGTGTAGGTTCATCTGATTAAACCGGTGATGAAGCATTGGCTGAATGTATATAGTTGATGCGGTGGATGATGAGGAAAGCGGCGAGCAAGGTCCATCGTGGTTGCAGTCGCAGCACCGCAGAAAAAGACGTGAGTGATCTGAGTTGTCTCGTGGTAGTTATATATTGATTAGATGCAAGGCCCGCCGCCTGGCGAACGGTCACAACAACGGAGAGCGAAGGAGTCCGCCTTGAATGCCCTTCTCGGCGAATTAGATTCTGAGGAGGCGGAGCTGCAAGCACTCCCTAGCCGTCCAGAGTACCCCGTGAACGCAGGAGCCAAGATGTACCCTATGGACGATGATGCAGCTGAACTATCGAAGAGTACATCGCCAACATCGGACTTTCCTAAGGCCGTACCCGCCTCAGAGATCCCATTGCCGCACTCGTCAGCCTTCTCCCCAGCCTCGTCGCCTGCGACCGCAGCCTCCCAAGCAGAGCCGCACAGAGCCCGAAAAGCGAGATTGCATGCCGACCTCGCACATCTTCACGATTTGGTATCTCATCGTTGCCTCGCATTCACTAGCGTCGGGCCGCTAGTCTTCCATCACGATCCAAAAACAGCAGGCGTATATCAAGCCCGGAGAGACGACCAAGTTGTCCAGATGAATCACGGCCCTCATGCGTTGGTGCCGAGACATCGACTCAACGCAACATTCTTAGACCACGAAGAATGGTTGGTTTCTATGGCACACGATCTACTAGCTATGCCCATCTGCGAGGATGTCGAGCTTCGCGATGCCCATCAGGAACTACTCGAATACGTGCATCGGGAAATGGACGTCCTGGAGCGGGTAAAGATGGATCAATGGAACAAGCAAAGGGATGTCTCGGCCATGCGACCCGACCCTGCACGTCGCAACACTGTCGATGCCGGTGTGTTTCGCCCTGGTTTTACGATGTTGGAATGTGAGCTAACCTATGGCCAGATGACTACTACTCCAAGCCGTATGAGGACATGGCTCCTATTGTACTGGGGTATAACCTTGTGGCGCTTTCTATGGTGCTATTGCATCACTTGCCTCGTCGAGGGTGTAAAGCGTTGCTTGCCGGACTTCGCATGGTGATGAGGCTTACCCTCATGTTCGCCAGACGAGGAGCACTGGAACCCGCTGATCGCTTGCTACTGGATAGTCTCTCGCGAGACGAGCGCACGATTATGAGCCAATTCGGCCTCGACCCGGTGACTATACCGTATGCATGTTGTCCGCGATGTAATGCGTTGTATCCGGTCCGCGATTGTCCCCGGGAGTGCTCCTCAAAAGATACCCTGGACAGCCAAGTCTGCGGATCTGCACTGTGGCGGAGCCGGACTATCAACGGGAAGACGTACTCGTTTCCAGAGAAGACATACCTCCATCAAAGCATGAAGCACTGGATGGCTCGATTTCTATCACGTCCAGACATAGAGCCAATGCTTGACTCTAGGAGGGAGCAGACTGTATCGCAGCTCCCAGACGTTCAGTCAGACGTGTGGGATGCCCCCATGTTCCACGAGTTCAAGGATGCAGCAGGCGGAGCGTTCATCAAGGGCCCAAAAGAGGAGGGAAGATACCTATTCAGTCTCTCAGTTGACGGCTTCAATCCGTTTCAGGCGAAGGAGGCTAAGCAAAGTGTCACAGTCACCGGCATCTATATGGTCTGTCTTAACCTTCCACCGCATATCCGTTACTTGCCGGAGAATACATACCTTGTCGGCATCATTCCTGGACCCGGGAAACCGGCACTCGAGCAAATCAATCACTTTTTGAAGCCATTAGTGGACGAATTGGTGGATTTCTGGCATCCAGGGGTTTGGTTCACTCGCACCGCTCTATACCCGGCCGGTCGACTAGTCCGCTGCGCTCTGGTACCTCTCGTCTGTGATCTTCCTGGAGCACGTCAAGTCGCGGGACACGGTTCGCACAGTGCAACTCTGTTCTGTAGCTTCTGCAAACTGAAGTTGGAAGACATGGAGAGTCTCGATCCAAAGTCATGGCCGCTACGAAGTGCCAAGGAGCACCGAGATGCCGCTCTGAGGTGGAAGGAAGCGCGTACCCCTGCTGCACGCAAACGAATCTTTGAAGAGACTGGTGTGCGCTGGTCGGAGCTTCTCCGATTGCCATACTGGGATCCAATCCTGTTCACAGTCATTGACACGATGCACAACCACTACCTAGGTCTCCTGAAAACGCACTGCCGAGACATATGGGGCATGTCTATCGAGTTGGCTGACCAAACAGTAACGGAGCACATGCCGCCAAAACCAGCAGATGCGGAAATGGCCGTTGCAATGCAGCTGTTACGCAGTGGGACTGATAAGAGCCTGGAGCTACTGGACAAGAACACTCTGTGGCATCTGTGCCTCATGCATGGATGTCGCCGCTCCGGCAACGTTAAGAGGTTGCGGAAAGCGTTGCTGGCATACGTAGGTTCTGTCCTCGCGTCTTCATAGCTCATACTGACATCGATCTGTACAGCGTGCCCAGAATAACCTCGGGGGGGCACTTGACAAGGAAACTCAGCAGACGCCGCCGGGAGATGCGCAAGAAAGCGGCGGGGGCGAGATACCAAGCGGATCCCAGGCCGCTGCCTCGCGCGATGAAGGGCAACGGTTCGAAGCAGAGATGCTCGTTGTCAAGGCAGAGAAGGCCTGGTTACAGGGAAAGGCCGCTAAGACACTCGTTAATAACAACACAAAGGCCACCTTAATTGCGTTATGTGCACGACATAGTCTCGCTACCGATGGAACAAAAAAACAGCTGGTCGACACGCTTATAGAGGCGGTATGTATCTCGTTCTCACAGAAGGTTATAATGATGATGCTGAAGGCTTGCAGCGTCAGAAACAGCCACGGCCAGGAGAACAGGCTGGGTCGTCTTCACAGGTTGTATCACCTAGCGTTCATCCCTTCCAACAACCTACTGATCGCCATTCCAGAACCATGATGTCGTGCCCCTGACAGATGAAGCATGGCTCGCGTCGAGTACGGTGTTAGGCCGCGAGACCCTTATGAAGATCCACGAAGATATGCGCCAGACTCAGGTACCGTCATGGGTAGACCCAGCCCCAAGGAACTTCGGAACAAAGCAACGAGGGAAACTGAGTGCCGACCAGTGGTTCTCCGCTTGTACCATCAACATCCCTTTCACCTTGATCCGCATCTGGGGCAGCGAGCAAGGCAGGCGGAGGGCTATGTTGCAAAACTACATGGACCTCATAACGGCTGTCGTCATGAGCAGCATGCTCGCTATCAACGACAGCCATGTCAGGGCTTACGAAGAAGCGATTGTACGGTATCTGCGCTCTCTGAAGGATCTATACAAGGCGTCCGAATTCAAACCAAATCATCACATGGCCCTACACGTAGGCGCGTTCTTGCGAAGGTTTGGACCTGTCCATTCGATTCGGACATTCTTCGCGGAGAGAATGAATTTCATGCTACAGCGCATCAACACAAATCGAAAGTTCGGTCAGTTGTTGCACCGCAATGTGGCTGTTGCGATACGTGCTGACAGCCTCCAGGCGAACTGGAGTTGACCTTCATGAAGACGGCATGTCGATCCGCGAATCTCAGGGCGCTCCTGCGAGTGGACGGGCTGCGGAAAATTGTCAAGGAATTCGCCGACATGTACGACGGGCTCTTCAACGAGAACAAACGAGGGACCAGACTGCGTGAAACATTGCTCGGCGATGAGAACGAGCGGCGGCAGGCGACAGTACGAGAAGCGAAATCAGCGGTGTCTTTGGATGACGACACATTCACAGCCTTGATATCGCTTCTCAATACCGAGTGCGGGACGGAGTCGTTTGCCGATATGCGCGAGCTCCGGCTGGAGCACGGTCTTCAACAAATGATAAACACGGTGGTGGACTGCACGAGCTTGTTCTTACACGGCGTGACGTACAAGGCCACCGCGAAATCACCCAAAGATAGTAACATCGTCTTCACCCTACCAGGTCCCACCTCCGCAGACGCAGAGTCTTGTGCCGGACGCATCAAGCAAATCTTCGTGCACAGAAGACGCAATAGCGAAGGCGATGAACTCCGAGAGATTTTCCTATGTGTTGAGCGTTTGGCTGAGCTCTCCGCTGAAGACGCAGGCCACGATAATTATCGCAAGTTTCCATACGTCGGAGGTCGCCTCTATTACGACAGGCATTACTGTGAACCGGTCGTCATAAGGCCGAGTCACATCATCTGCCACTTCGCTAGGACTCCAACGACGACGCCTCAGATCCAGCAACCCTGCGTGCACGCCTTACCGTTGAACAGGGTACGTCTGATCGTGTTGGTCATACTGTGGCGCTGCATCGAGCCATGACGTGGGACGTAGCTCCTCAGATTAACGACGCCAGCGACGCAAGACGAGCAATTCCCGGACGGTGGCGATGTCGCCTTTACAGAGCTATTGGAGGACCTAGCCTGTTTCAATAACTCTGGTAACGAATAGCGCGGCGTTGCGTCGCGAATGACTGTCCTTGATTCTATGTAGGCCGTTAAAGAATGCCTTGAAACACGCCCTCTGCCCCCCTCGGATTCCGTATGATACACCCACAGCCAGGGCTGGGAAGTCTCCGCGACGATGGACCACGTCCTTCGACGCAAAGGATAGCCTCAAGCGAGCCTCCGAGATAGCAGCCGCGGCATCCCTGTGCACGCCAGTCCAGGCCGGGTCGTTAGGGGCGCCGCAGAGGACGGCAATGACTCGTCCGGACTCGTCTGTGATAGGTCGAGTAGTCCTTTAGAAGCGTGGCGCGTGACGACGGTGATGTACGCGGATGCAAAGGCTGTACGTACCTTCCATCCCAGCGGACTAGTTCAAAGCCAAAGTGTGACCCTTCGCCAACTAAGTCATCCAGCTCATATTGTCGCCGTGAGGCGCGTGACTCCCTGCCCCCGGTGTACGCACCGCTGGTGTGTGGTAGGCCTTCAGCGGCAAGGTTCGTACCAATTGAAAGGCCGTCCTTCAGGTGAGTGTTGAGGAGCGGCAGCCGCGGCCTCTGTACCGAGCCATACGGTGATGCGCTCTCCGTTCGTCGTCGCCTCCGTTTGTCTTTTGCCTGGGCTTTTCTTCGCTGTCGTTCGATCGACTGCAGACCTGCGAGCTGCGTTCCAGCCGCACATGCAGTGTTGTCGTGCTCTACGTATCCTGCTGAGGACGCCGCAGGTTTCGATGGTGCGGCGCTGCTAAGCGAGAAGGGCGGTTCAAGACGCGGCGCTGGCTGCGCATAGGGGACATCCAATGGCGCGAGCTCGTAGTCCTCCCCTTCAATCTCAGTGTTCGCATCTTCACTCGCAATGGCTGCCGTCAGCAGTTGGCGGAACAAGAATCCGGAGTGGTCCGCAGCGGCGAGCGGTCTGCCTAACAATGAATGACAGTGAGCGCCACTCTTCAACGTCGAGAACGTCTGGCCCCTGCTGGGAGGCCGAGCAGCGTGGCTGCAATCCCCCAGTGCCTGGCTTGGCTCCGCGTAGATGCACTCATTCTGCTTGTCCACCCAGCGGGACCAGAAGTGCGTCGGACACTCACCGCAGACTGGGGCTGGGGCAGGCGTACAAGCCATGGGACGACCGACGTGTGGCACGAGCGACCAGCAGCCGGAAGAACAGGAGCCCTACGCAGCGACGGGTCAGGGTTGCGTTCGACCTCAACACGTATAGCAGGCGGAGGCGGCGGCCAGGCGGGCGACGCGCAGCGCGCTCGACTGCGTCGGTGTGTGAGGTGTGATTCCTCCACACGTGATACACGTGCACTTGTGACAGTACGCAATGGTGACAAGCAGTCACCGCAGCGAGGCCAGTTCCATGGTTATTACCACAACGAGCTTATTAGTTCCCCCAGTTCCATGATTTCCGCGAAGCTCGTGCATTCCCGAGACCTTTCGCTCTTGCGACAGTACTTACCGGTGAGTTGTACGCCTCATTCACGACTCCTGCGTGCATGCATTACTGAGAGTTTGCATTCGCTCCCAGCAGACGCGGAGGCCATCGCAGGGGACGGACGACGTCCAGCGTTCGTAACGGCGGTGAGCGGGCCACTTCAAGAGCTTCACTCGCGCTCCCCTCCTTCACTCTTCGCACACTGATCGCGCTTGGCAAAGAGCTGGGCCGCTAAGCGATCGCAGCCACGGGACGGCTACGCCCTCAGCGTGCCCGTCATCCCTTCCCCGTCGACGCTGAATTTAGCGTAGGCAGCCTCCTGGCATGCCGCGCGGGGAAAGAAGTTAAGCTTGAGCTGGGCTCCAATGGGGCATCATGGTTGCACCTACCGGATCTTACCGCATTTTCGAGACTACAGCCTCAAACTCGCTATTGTCCCTCGTCCACGTTCCGCGGCCGCCTATGCGTATCGCTTATGCGAACGGACCGCTCCACGACCATGTCCGTGCAGCGAGACTAACCGGCTTCAGCCACTTGCGTATGTGGGCCGGGCCGTGTGGCTGCGATGGCTGACCTCCTCGCGATTGTCGCTCCAAGCCGCGACTATACGAGTACGCTTTTCACCGCCCAATAAATTTACACACCTCGGTCAGGACTCAGGACCAGGGGCTCCAAAACGGCAATGCAACCAAGCAATGCCCCAGCTGAGTACCATTTTCAACGTGGCATGAACGTACGCCGATCTGACCAGTTCCCCGTTGTCATCATGGGACACGCTCCTCCCTCCGGCACGCAGGCGCTTGTTCAAGTGCGGACTGCATTGTGCTCAACGAATATATGTGAGGTTCCCCCCACAGCGCTTTTGAGTCGCAAACTCTCGGCTCGACAGCAGCCCGCCACTCCATCGCACCTCCGGTGGTATGCACCCGGCTCGTAGCTATAGCGTCCGACCCCGAAGGGCCAACCGGCACCGAGCCAGGCCGACCAGGTAAGTCTCCCTTGCGTCGCCATGGTCCGCCATGGTTAATGTTAGCGGTGCCCGAAACAGCGCGCGAGACAGCATGGACGACAGCCGCAGTAACCAGACGTCGTACCACAAGCGCGCGAGACTGGATGAGTCCGACAAGGTGTGCGCGCCGTTCACAACGCCCCACAGCGAGGTGCCTTCAGCTCTGTGAGTTCCGCGCACGCGTGCACATCCGTCCTACGCTGACCAGACTGAACGCATCATACTAGTCCCAACGAATTCTCATGGCAAGGTCATGAGAGCCACTCGGTTCATATGGCCGGCGAGTTCGAGATTTCGCAAACACCCGCTGAGGTACAAGACGAGCTACTCCGCATGATTGAGGAGGGAATCCGGCCGACGCCCTCGTTCCTGTTTGAGCTGCCGGATGCTGGTCTACCTCCCCAACATTCATACGTCCCAGATGCGCCGATGTGGCCCGTCTTGGGTCATGCCGCGACGGCGGAGGCAGTGGCGCACCCACCGTCATCGTTCTATGGGTACCTTCATGGTACCGATGGATGTGACGGCTTACCATCCATACTGTCAGACACTGACGTCCCTGCCGTGGGCACGATCTACTCTGCGGTTAACCCCTTTGCACCCGCCATGGCGGAGAATCTACCGTACGTTTTCGCCATTCTGTATGGGCTTCGGTGGCTTTCATGCGTCTCTTCATAGTGTTCTACAGGGCGAGCATCAAGCCCTCAGAAACGCTGCGCCCTCTGGACTTGAACCGGGATCTGTCACCACCCAGGAGCTTCCCATTTGGTGGCCGACATATGGTGAAGGCGAGATTTATCTTGACAGGAGGTTAGTGATAAATGTACGGGTGACAAAAAAACTGACTCTACATTTCTGGGATTTTCAGTGCCACCGGTTCCGACTTTGGCGACGTCGTCGACTATCTTGAGACCGCACAGCCGCGAGCAAGCGGAGACATGTCGCACGTAGAAACCATGGCAGGCAACGCGGTGGATGCTCTTCAACCGCTACTGGCCGACATCTCACGTACCGGATCTATCGGGTGCCTGAACGACTTTGGATTTGCGGATAACACGTCGTCGGCTGAGCTTCCCAGCATCCCGTCCTCTCCTGCGTTTCTTGCGTCCGGACATGCGTTGGACAGGGTGCTCATGCTTGACGAGGGGGATGAATCTCCATGGGGCACGTCTAGTGAAGAGGCCTCGCATTCGGAGAAGCCAGCAGTGAGTGGCGTAGTCGGGCAGGGGCTCGATCAGCAGACAGCAGACAAAGTAAGCCGTCACTGGTGGTTGTATCTCTCTTTCTGACGGACGCCGTTATAGGAGAAATCTGCTGGCTTCACGCGAAAGCTACTCGAAATAACGCGCGACCTCGTTTACGGCGCATGCGATCGATTGCTGCCGGATACGTACGACGCCGTCCCCATCAGCACTATGACGCCTACAAGCAGGACCAGTGCTCCGATCAGCACCGACTCGAGCTTCACGACGACGACGACGACGACGACGGCGGCGGCGGCGAGCGAGAGGACGGCACCACCCACGGTTACGAGCACGGTAACGGCTACGATCACAGTCACGATTACGAGCGCGAGCGCTGCTGCCGATGTTGTAGGACCTGGTACCACTACCACCACGAGGACGGTCGCTACGTCGGCCGTTGTCGCGGACGAAGATGCAGGGACAGCCACTCTGACGCTTTGATTCGTACGAGACCGTCATAGAATAAGAACAAACGCATTCCCTTTCCTCATTGCTCCGATCCGTCTGTATCTGTACCCCGTCTCACGTCGCTCTGCCCTGTGTTGTTTGTCGGTACCTGCCTTGCTTGTCGGTACCTGCCTTGAATGTATAGATGTTGCTCGACGGGCTGAGTGTTCAGAATGGCCAAGTTTCGGCGATCGACTATATGAATTGCTCGATATCTACGGGTCTCCCCACCCCCAAGTTCTTGACGAGCATGCGAACTAGCCTCGAGCCGGCAGCTGAATTTCGAAGCTTGAAGGGTCGGACGCTCTCGTACTGGAGCCCGAGAGCGGCCAATTCACTCGCCGCGACGCCGCCGTACAGTGGCGCTGCACCGACTCGGCGGTGGGCTCGCACTGCGCAAGCCAGCGCCTCCCATATGTAAGCGCCCGCTTCATCGCAAGCGTCCGAGTCGACAACCAGCTCCTCCTCATGACATCACCTTTCGTTCTGCACTGCTTGCCCGTTCTCCGTCCCAATGACCCTATATGTCTCCTTCCATGACTTCTGTTCACGCGCCTAGGTCCGGATCAACACGTCTGCGACGGTTCGCCGACTACTATACCAGCTCGCTCAGATGCGCACCTGTGAGGTCAGAGTCTGTTCATGCATATCCACAAGAGCCTCATGGCAGCAGGACGAACGTTGGACATGCAGTCGCTGTGCTGCCTTGGGTGGTAGCGAGGGCGCGAAGTTTCTAACAGATATACTCTGCTCGCCCCTCATGCAAATGTCCAGGTACGTACATGCACACTGAAATACCATCCACGGCGATAAACAGTTGGACGATTGGACAGACAACGATACAATGGAAACAATGCAACGGTGCAGACTACACCAATACTGGCAATTCGATGGGCAGACCTCGCGCAGTCGCAGTGGCGACAACCTCGCTGCACTTGCGGAGGTATCTATTGCACATCGGTTTGATGAGTCTAGTCTCTAGAAGGGCGATACGATGCTCACTTTTGGACAGCTCGGACGGCCAGCGCCTGTGCACCAACGTCGGTGACGAACACCCAAGTACCCGCACGCATGACGATCAAGTCACCGCGCACTCGATGTCTGGTGAAATCTTCCTGAGCGCTTCGTTGACAGGAAGGGCGGGATCATAATGGGCAGCAACGAGGAATCGCTGTGCCCTTGCGCTGCCCACCAAGTCCACCCAAGTCTCCTGTAGATTACGCCCTGGACCAAGGACGGATTCTAGCGAAGGAAAGCGCGGGTGTGCCGAGGACTCGTTTCGTGGGGTAATAGTAGGTACGTGGACGCCGCGACCAACGCGGGCCTCTGAGCTGAATATCATCCCGCGGATGGATCTCATAGAACACTGGTGCCGGTGTCTGTCAGGTTCAAAAGGGCAGCTTCACTCAGCGCGCACTCACGTCTTTCGTCGCGCAGGCTTTCCGCAGAGTGGGCATGTTGAAAACTGGGGGAAGAAGCGCCACTTGGGGTGTGGTTTTGCGAGATTAACCTGGTGCATACGAGGTCTTTTGTCCTCATTCGCATACCCCGTCCAGGCTCTGATACTGACACGTGCGACGTGCATTGTCTACATCTGTATGACACGGGAGTGCCGTTGTATCCGTGTCTTGGACAGCATCGCCGGCAATGCGGATGACGGCGTACATGTAGAGCGAGTCATGTGCGAAAGTACGTCCAACGGTGCTAGACTCGAGCAGGGACATTACGGCCACTCCTCAAAGCGTTCGCCGTGCTCGTCTACGATCTGACCGGGAGCTGCTGGCTAAGGTGCGATATCGCATACACGTGTTAGCTGCTATACGCATCACCGTCTGTCCTAGGCCTTGCCCTCATATCTACGCTGGTACGTTCCGCCTAAAGGCTTTCCTCCAGGTAATCATGCCGACGTGTCATCCGCAATCACTCTAGCTTGTGCCACGTCTGCTCTGCGGAGATGTCCCCCCGAATTAGCAGACAATGACGGCCGAGGAAGAGGACGCCGTGATCAAACTCGTGGCATCGTAAGGTGAGCGAGCGCCCAGCCACTCCTCCGCGATCCTCGAACATTCAACGCTCAGCGCTCAACGGTCAGCAAGTGTGCACCGTCGTCGACCGCTTTCTGCATACGGTACGTACCGTAGTGCGGACGCTCCGACAGGTATGCTCACCCGGAAGGTATGCTCACCAGATCTGCGATGTAACACTCAGTATACCCGGCCAAACAATGGAACACAGCCGGCCTGCTAGTAGCGCTGCCACGATGTGCACAAAGGAGCGTAGGTGGTTATAAATGCCGCATCCTCTTCGATGAGCTACGCCAACAACTGCAACCCTCCGCCTAGCGTCGCGTCGATATGCACCCAACGTGTCCTGTGTGTGCGGTGGAGTATCCGCAGAACGCTGGAGTACTCCCTCACAGGCCAGTATCCATACTATGCGGTGAGTGCTGTTCGGACGTATGCACGTACTCATACTGATCGACGGGCCACCTTCCCGAAACTAGGCCACGTCTTCTGCCAAGAATGCGTCGAGACTCTGATCGCACGCGACCAGTGCTGTCCGTACCGAGATTCTCTTCGCCTGATCGAAGCGGAGGATACTGTGCCCATACTCTTCAGTCCCGAGGCCGCTATCGCACCGACACTGCGTGTTAGGATTGATAGGTATGTTGATCGTCAATGCCCACGAGAGACTTCACTGAGTTACAGCCTCGTAGGCGCCTCGCCGTGTTATCAATGGAACAACAGCGTGTCGACAAGACTCTCAAACGCGTGGCTGCTAGTACCGAAATCGTTTCCAAACACGTCTGCGTGCAGCGAGCAAGTATCTCCAGGCATTACGGGAGCCTCGATCGCATCACGAACGAAGTGCGTGCACTTCAGAGGAAGGTGGGCGCCGTGCGCGCTGAATGTGTTCGTGAATACGATGCAATTATCGCTCTTCGAGCGAAGGTGAGCTCCTCCGTGCCGTCTGGAAGTGTGCCAACGTCTTATTGCCCACAGTCTGCTGCGCAAGCATCTTCCTTGAGGGCTGAAGACGCCACCCCACAGCTGGGGGAGCAACGTCGTCGACAGAGGTCTCCGTCAGCAGCAAATACGGAGGATGCTCCGTCCGCGGTGAGTCCGTCCTTGAGTGAGGTATACTCTGTCACAGATTGATGACGATCCGAACACGCAGAAGCGACGCAAGACCTGACTTTTGCGTGACACTTTGTGTCGTCGTCTTCTGCGAGAGACGGCGTTCGATTATCGGCGTCTGGAGGTGTACATTACGGCATATTGAATTCTTGGCTTTCGCTGGGTGTCTTAGCGCTCTAATGCCACTATCGAAAGCTTGAGGCCTGAGGCCTGAGGCCGAGGGCCTGAGTACTCAATGGCTAGCTGCCGATGTGCACCGCTTCCCTCGAAGCCATTTCCGAGCACACTGATTCCGAGCGCGGGACTCGAGCACTTATGGACCCACATGTACCTGCACGGCAGCGCGGATCCTGTCCCCTGAAGCTGAAGGCGTCCAAGTAGCTCGGGAAATCGATAGATCTAAGGAAACCAATAGATCACATCCTCCGGCTGGACCCCGGTACCTCCAAGACGTCAGTGTGTTACTTTGTTTGGCATTGCTCGGCAAAGTCCGATCTTGCCATCGCGATGAGTGGCTGAATGTACGCCGATGATCGACCCAACTTATCTGACAGGTCCGTGCAACCATGCACATCGTCTGCGCTGTCTGTGAGGACCGACTTCGCGACAGCGACGAGTCCTCGTGGGTGTTTAGGTCGGCTTGCGGTGAGTGCGCATAACTCTTCCTGGTAAATGAGTAGCGCCACTCATGCGTCCTCATCCAGGTCATTTAATCTGTCGCTCGTGTCTGGAGTCCCTCGACAACGCCAACGGTCACCAGCAGGTATTGGTATGCGAAGACTGCAGCGCTGCAATTTCCAAGCAGGACTGCCGTAGAATCTATCTCAATCCGTGGTTGGTTGCAGACGCGTCGGACAACGAGATCAACGGCGCTATTGACAGGTGAGCCACTAAACTGCCTTCATCGTTTGCATGACATGTATGTCACTTCGTAGGGATGCCAATGTTTCCATGACATTGAAAGGCATTGTGGCCTCGCGACATCGGCTGCAGCTCTGCGAGAGCAAGCATCAGCTAGTGAAGCAAGAGCTGGACGATAACGTCGAGCTATCCACCGCGCTTCAATCCCAACTCGCGAATTTGGTCCAGACACGCTTGGCCATTGCCACAAGGCTACTAAGCCTTTCCACGAAGCGGGACGGTCTTCGTGCAGAGCGTGTTGAGCTGCAGGAACGGCAGCATGGCACGGTAAGTTCTACATGTTTAGGAGGTTGAAAGTTATTTGACTGGGTCCGTAGGCTCCGGGGTGATTAGCACTGGCAGGACCATCGCGTCTGTGCTCTTTAGAGCTGGCCATGCTCGAGCATGCTGTTGGTCGGTGTGTTCTGCCTGATCCCGCCGAATGTGTAGTTGTACGTGTACACCAATGGATCGTCTGCATTTCTGTCAACCCAAGTGTCATATACAAAAGTTTCCTCGTAGTCATGTGGTCTCTCCAACGCGGTCCCATTCTGTATACGAAACTACCTAAGCCACTGGGGAGATCTAGAAGACTTGTAAGTCGCGGTTTGTACGCCACAACCGAACTTCTCGTCACGTGGCTACCGCGTCGTCTTCGAGGCCGCCCTCCAAGTTCCCTCGCCCACGCTCTGGTCCATCACCCGCAGACAGTATATCCTAGCTCGCAGTTTCTTGTCACCATGTCTGCTTTTGGGAGAGAAGGCACGGCCATGCTCGAAACTTATGACGGCTCGACATGTGGCGGAGCCGTGCCCCCAAAGGATTGGCAGGTTAGTTGCCACGGTTCAGGCAGGCTTGATCACTGACGGGTTTTCAGCTCATATATGCCAATCGACACCGGTTCTCCGTCGACAAGCAGACGGAGACCCAGGGCCGAGACACTCGTGAGTCCCTTCAACGCGCACTGTTGTGCGAACACATCATATGTTCGCTGGTAGCTCGCACGCCCGAAGCGCTCTCATTCTCGACATTACCGAACTCCCATCGTGAATCGATATTTGGCTATCCACACGTCCACTACAGCGGCTTCGTATCACAGCGAAGGCATTTCGACGACATTTTGGAGCGTACCGAACCGGTGACGCTGCCAGTGAATACTAGTACAGCTCCCATGTTGGCAGAAGCCGGTGAGCACGGCTTCCGTGCGCTTTCCGATGGTACTGACACGGGGGACTGGCGGGAAGCCGAGGGTTACGCGGTTTGTCTGTGCCGCGTCTGTGCCACGCCCGTGCTACGTCTCTGCGGTAGCTTCATTGGCGACCTCCGACGATCGCCGCAGTTTCCGGTGAACTGTTCCGATACTGGTGAACCTGACAATAGGTGTGGCTCCGGCTCTGATGTGGAGGAACGTGGAGTGACCGAAACCCCTATAATTCTCAGTAGCATGTTAGGTTAACACCAGACTGTTGAAGGCAATGGGTCGAGCGCGTTGAAGCGGCGTCGACGCCCGGGCCGAATGCTCAATTGACTCGTATAGCTGGAGGAAGCCGTCCTGAAGGTTCAACATTAAACCCGGCCACTCGGTATGAGTATATGGGACTAGGTCTATAGTGAGACTAGATCTGCTCGGAACTTCGGTTACGGTTGCGGAGTGCGTATGTACTATGTCCGCAGACAAACCAAGACGCTTGGCCACGTGGGCGTGCGCTTTGTCTGTATCGGTGCAGCCGTCGGTTTGATCTCTCTCTGCGTTACGTTGCATCCTCTGCGGGCAGTATATATGCCTATCTCATGCCAGCTTCTCATCTCCATGTCTACATTCGAGCGGGAAAGCACAGTCCTTCTTGGAACCTACGACGGGTCAACGTGCGGCGAAGCTGTGCTCCCAAATGATTGGCAGGTGAGTGGCCGCTGTTCATGTAGGCCTATCCACTGACGTGTTTGCAGCTCACATACGCCAATCGACGCAGATTCTCCGTCGACATGCACACGGAGCACACGGAGAGCCAAGGACAAGAAACTCGTGAGCGCTTTCACCGCACGCTGCCGTCGTGTATTGAAAGCATTATCTGTTCGTTGGTAGCTCGCACGCCCGAAACGGCCTCATTTCCGACGTCGAACTCTCCTCGTGAGGGGACAATGTTCAACTATCCAGACATCTACCACAGCAACTTTGCGTCACCGCATTTTCACCTCGATGACGTTTCTGAGTGTACCCAGCCAGTGACGCTCCTACTGAACTCCAGTACAGTCCCTGTGATGGTAGAAGCCGGTGAGTACGGCTTCCGTGCGCTTTCCGATGGTAACAACATGGGTGACTGGCGTGCTACTTGGGAAGGCGAGGGTTTCAGCCGCTCACATGCGGCCGAATGGGAGAAGACGGCAAACGGCCAGCCCTTGGTACTTGATGGTAATCGTCAAATGAGATGCTTTGCTTTTCGTGCTTGGTGACATCTTTCGACGGTAGGGACCTCTTTCTTGTATCCCGGCCACTCAACAGCCGCTCGCTCGGTGCGGGAGGAGAGTCTAGGGCCCTTTGTGGAACGGGATGCGTCCGTGCCAAATCAACCATCATCGTCCGACCAGTGGAAGGCCAATCCGGTGAGTGATAATGCTACCAGGGAGCAGTCTGTTAGTGACGGTTCGCCCGATACAGCTACGTCAGCCTACTCCGCCAGCTGGGGTCTCCGAGCACCGGACTATGCGCATCCGCCCCACATCATTCGAGTTCATTATTGAGCAGGAGGGCTCGTCACAGGCAATGAACTATGCCACTCGTCCTCAGGAACTACGTCCTCCATGGAATGGCGACGCGGTGTCCTCGAGTGCTGTCTCAACGACGTGTCCCAGCAGCCTCCCAACGGCGTCTTCCGACGACCCATCGGCGCCTTCCAGCAACCTCTCAACGACACCGTCCAGCGACCTCCCACCAGCATCGTCCAGCAACCTCCCGACAGCATCGTCCAGCGACCTCTCAATGGACTCGTTGATGAGCCCTTAGCTCACCTACCCACCGAAAACGCCATTTACGGTCGATACAACGGTACACTAAGTCAGAACGGTCGACGCGCTGTCCGTCCGTTCGAGGGAACCGCCCGATGTTCGAAGCTCAAGCGTCAATGTTCGGAACCCTTAGCGGCGAAGTCACACGGTTTAGAAGAGTCACTACATTGGTAGGACTACGGACAAGTACACGGCTAGGTCAAACTAACTAGTGACGGCCTCGGCAACTCTCGTATCTATGGCCTCGACCTCCACACCCATGACCACCACCCCTACCCCTACGAACAGACGGACCGGCGTCGAAGCTACGGTCAGTGTTGACGCGCTCGAACAGGCTTTCGAGCAACCCGACGAGGGTGCCGTGCGTACGGCGCTGGTCGACTGCGATGTTGTGAATCGCTCGACCCATGGACTCGAGGTTGTCGGGCAGCTGGCGGAAGTCGGACAGGGTCAACGTCTCGCGCTGATACTGTGGGTTCGCGAGAGGACGACGTTCGGCCTGGTTGACTTGTTCGAGCAGCACCAAGGTCTCGGACCACGCGATCGTAGGGTAGGGCGAACCTAGGATGTCTCCCTGGTTGCCATCGCGGTGAAAGACCTCGTCGAGGTAACGCATCAACTCGTCGATCTCGGGGAACGACCTAGGAGCAGGAAGCGTATCGTTCGCTAGCAGGATGGCCCGGCTGCGGGACTCGAACAAGAATCGCTGTTCGAAGGTCGGTTCGATGGTTCGAACGATAGTCTAAGTTCGGAGGCACGTACAATCATCCAACGGACTCCGTGGGCCCAAGCCAGCCACTCTCCGGGACTGTTGGCATCGTATCGCGGCTCGACAAGTCCCTCGGTCTTGAGGACCTCTAGGAGGCGGTAGTAGCGGGCAGCATACGCTTCGGAAGTTGGGTCGAGGTGCGGCATGTTCGTGTAAGTCAGGCGAACTCCTGCAGCTGTCTCATATCTTCGAGGACTGTCACCGGCCCGGTTATGACCTTCGCCGTTCGGGGACGGTCGCCCGTTATGCGGAACCTGCGGAAGGCCGAGTTGGATTCTCTCATGTGTTAGTAGGTCCGGGTCGAGCGTTGTGACATTCTCCGATTGGCTGCTTTCCTTATCTCTTTCATTCATCATGTCTTGTATTTCTCTTGGCTCTCTTGGTCTTCGGACCGTATTTTCCTGTATATACTCTGGGACTTGTTCCCTTCGAATCTCAGAGACCCCCTTACCCTCTCAATCTCACCTCGCACCGGCGAGGTTCGTCAGTCAGCCAGTACGTTCGAAGTCAGCAAGTTCGCCAGTCAGTCAGTACGTTCGAAGTCAGTCAGTCAGTTCGCCAGTACGTTCGCCAGCTCGTAGTTGCCCCGAGAGGCTCTACACTTCTTCTCCTGCCGTCGCTCGCCTTCCTTGTCACTGTTCGTTCGACACGTCTGTCGAAACTCCCCCTCCTACCTTCGAGGCTTAGCCCTCGTCTTCGAACAGTCTTCGACATCTTCGAAGCTCCCCCACGTCGTTCGGAGTCTTGTCCGTCCTCCTCCTTCTTACCTAGACCACTGTACAGTCCCCCGTACATCTCATAGACGCAGAGGCCTCGCATACCACTGCTCGACCTCACGGTTGGGTTTTTGTGTGGCTTTTGTGTTCTTTTCGGTCGCGTCATCTTGGAGCCCACCGCGAGGGGGATATAGAGCAAGATTCCGCCGCGTCGGAACTTCGACGTCAACCCTGAAGACTACCGAGACTACGAAAGTCCTCTTCTCGCACTCGCTATCGACAGTCGTTTAGGTCCCGGATCCGCCGCCGCCTTTCGCAGGCATAGCAACCCTCTACCAGGACCTTCGACTATCCCCTCTTCGTCCGAACACGTCGAGCTTGTCCCCGATCACGACGATCAGGAACGCTCCGTTCGAGACCAAGTACCTACTACCCCATTTCATCCCGGACGTGCTCGAAGACTTTCGCTCTCAGACGACCTAGAGTCTCGAGTCTTTGGCTCTCCTCTACCGTCCCTAACGCCGTCGCCACCTCTCGAAGGAGAGGACCTCAGTTCAGCCACGCCGATCACGACGCGTAGTGGAGCCACCACCTCACGTCTACCTTTACCCACTCGTCGCAGAGCGTCGTTAGCCCCTCCAGGACCAGAGTCGTCCGAGCCGCGAAGGACTTCGACCAGCGACAACCAAAACCCTTCGAACGATCCGCCGAATCCTTCGAACCCTCCCGACACCGATACGAACATGTCCGAAGCAGCAGCACAAGCTTCGAAGGCGGCTTCCATGCCTGCCCGCGGTCACTCGACCGCGCCGGTCTTTGATGAGTCAGAGCCCTTCGCGTTCAACCGTTTCTTCCAGGACCTCGAGACCCACTTCACGCGATGCGGGATCACCACCAACGCGGACAAGAAGTCATGGGCCGTCCGGTACCCGCCGATACGGGTCTCGGACCTGTGGATGTTGAGGTCGCGCCGCGATCTCGATCTCCGCCACCGTGCACGTGACATACCGCCGGGGGTGGTTCGTCCGTTTCCGCCTCTCTCCCTCTTTCCTCAGTCGAAGTTGAACCACGACTGAGGTAAGCCCCCGCACACATACTATACAATACGTTCAGTAGCTAACTACCTAGCAGCGTCTGACCGAACGTCTAGGTAGATTAATCTCAGTCGAAGTTGAACCACGACTGAGCGTCTGACCGAACGTCTAGTCTCTACAGGTTATGAGCCCCGGGCGGTGTTTCTGAACTCGCCCGCTTACCTGAGACTTCTTTTCGGCTATTCAGACCCAGGAACAACATCGAGGCACCCATCAAAGTGTGCTTTCCCCGCATATACCCCGCATATAGCCAGCCAATTGATCAATGACGATCACCCCAACCTCGAGTCCCAGAGTCTCGGTACCCAAGACGCCGAGAACTCAAACGGAACTATCTCCGGCGCCCAAAATGGATCTCAAAGCGACCGCCAAGGAGAAAATCGAGCTCCTCCACGTACCGTCGTCCCTGCTCAACGGCGGCGTCATCCTCGACCGAAAGAAGGACAACTGGTACGATTGGAAGACCTACATCGAGAACTCCCTGAAGATCTGCTTCGCTTGGGGCTATCTGTCTGGTGAACAAGTCGCTCCCTCTGTCGACGACGACCCCAGCTCTGTCACCAACTTCCGGCGGAATGAGCAAGTTATCATCGCCTTACTCAGCTCGAAGGCCGCGAGGGAAGAGCAGCGCTTCATTGCCGGATTCATCGACGCACGCGCCTTATGGGTCGCCCTCTGTGCTCGCCACGAGAAACAGCCCGGCGCATATGCCCAGGTTCGTCTCCTCCAAGACTTCCTCGCTTGTCGCTACACAGCCGAGGAGCACTTCTCGGAGACGACCATGCGCCTCCAAGAGTTGGCCGAGCGCATCTTCCACATAGGCATCCCGAACCTCGAGGTCTTCATGACCATAGGCATGCTCAACTCGATGAACGGTTACCTCACGCACCTCCAATCGCAGGTCGGTTCGTCGCTCACGGCATCGGCCACCTCGGGCATTCCGTACACCTCCGTCGACATCGCCGCTCGCCTTGACCTCGAGCAGCGAATCCTCACCGACAGCAAGGCGTCCTCGTCAGCCACCGCTCTCGCCGCCTATTCCAAGCCGGGCAAGTCGACCTCATCGCAGAAGACTTGCACCAACGCCAAGTGCCCGCGCCCGAATGGGCATACTGCTCCGGAGTGCTGGGCCCCCGGTGGCGGCATGGAGGGTCGTCGCGAGGAAGTGCTCGCAAACAAAAGGAAGGGCAAGGGTCCTGGTAAGCCTGCCGTCTTTAACGCTCCCGACCGCGACAAGCAAGGTCGCGCGTACATCGTTGACGGCAAGACCGGCCACGCCTATCTCTTGAGTACGGTCCCGCCCTCGGCCACATCGACCTCGGAACCGTCTTCGGCGGATACCACCTCCGAGACTGACTTCGTTGGGCTTGCGACTGACACGTCCCCGGAATGGCTCGCCTCCGTCTCTGTCCCGGCGGACCTCTTTGAGTATGAGTCCCTGGTCTCTGTTGAAGACGAGGAGTCGGTTTCGCTCAACTGGTCTACCCACTCTCGCGCTCCTGCCGACCCTACCGCCTTCTCAGTGGCGCCGGTGCCTACGACGACTCGTCGTCTCTCCACTGAAGGGACTGAGCCTTTCGTGTTCGACTCTGGCGCGTCTACGCACTTGTCTCCTCGCAAGGCCGACTTCCATGACCTCCGCCCTATCTCTCCTCGCGGCATTCGTGGGGTGAGTGGATCGGTTATCTACGCTTGCGGCGTCGGCAAGGTACGCCTGCACATCGGTCGCGGCGCGTCGATCCTTCTCGAGGATGTCCTCTATGTGCCTCAGGCCACTGTTCGGCTCGTCAGCATCTCGTCTCTCTGCGCGTCTGCGGCTCGCTACTCGGTGCTCTTCTCTAGTGCCGGTGTTCGCATTCTCAAACCGGGCGGGGCTGTCATCGCTACCGGTACTTTAACGTCCAAGCGCCTCTACTCTCTCGACGGCGCCTCTCCCTCCACCGAACATGCCTTGTATGCAGGCCGTGTGCCGACGCTCGATGTGTGGCACCGCCGCCTCGGACATGTCAATCATCGTACGATTCACGACATGGCACGCTTCGGATCCGCTATAGGTATGCCTATCGTCCTATCTCCACCTGCAAAATGTGAACATTGCATTCTTGGTAAACAGACCAGAACTGCAGTTCCTAAGGTGCGAGTGGGGGAGAAAGCAAAGCGGGTTCTTGGCACTGTGTTCGTAGATGTACAAGGGCAGCAGGATGTTCGTTCCGCTCTGGGGAACCTTTATTCAATGAATATTCTCGACGATTTCACGTCTCACACCTGGGCCATCCCCGTGCCATCCAAGGTCATCCTCGAGCGATTCAAGGCTTGGGTCCTTGCTCGCGAGGTCGAGACGGGCGAGCGTCTGGGCGTCGTCCAGATTGACAATGGGGAACTTCTGTCGAACGACTTCAAGGCATGGATCGAGGGCCGC